ATCATTTTGTAGTAATTTTCGGCAACCAATTATGACGTAAAATACTAAATTGTAATCAATTTAAAATGACATCTAAAAGTTATAATCATAAACATATTTATATACCAAAAAGCCGCCACATGATGGGACGGTGTACATAACAACTATGCCCAAACGTGTTAAAGGGATGTCTAGGCATTATAACTATACCAAAAGCCCACAAAGTAGTGTAGTGTGCATGCTACAGCTATACCGAAAAACCACAAAATAACACAACTACATACATGCAAGAAAGATCGCTATTTTCCATGTCTTCCAAGTCAAAAGAATGAAGCAAGTCTTCATTATAATCCTGCAAATCCACAATAAAAAACAAACGAAAGGAGAAATCTTGATAAGATTTCAAATTAACTAATGAGTAGTGATATAATAATAATAATAATAACATTTTTGTCACTCACCTCCAAAAGACAGAGTGTCATTCATAGACAACCAACCTACAAGATTCAAACACCAATGAGAACTCAATTTCCCTACCTCTTAAGCCATATTGAAAACTCAAAGGTAAGAGATACACTATACTCAAAAGGATAAGTTAATATCATCACCAATATCAAAAGAAAACTATATGAACATCAACAACCATACAAAGTCACTATAAGTATTACTAATCTAGAGGATAAAAATAATTTAGTATCACATAAAAGTTTCTTATTATAAATATCAACTTAACAAATAATTTCTTTACAAATATTCAGCATATAGACCCCGTAAACTACTAAGGTCATAAAGGTGCGGTGTGAATCTGACGTTAAGAAATTTCTTTTGCTGAAACAGAATGCTTGAGTTTCGTGCTCTAAAAAGCTAAAGCTAATATGCCATTTTCCACATTATTTGAGTCAAACTTAGGGACAAGAATAACATGTAATAGTACTAAAAATGAAGAATTTCATCTCAATTAACACTGATTCATCACTCAAGTTCATTGTAAACACTTGGCCACTCAAAACTAACATCATTTCCAGCAGTGAAATTGAAATCACCAACCACTATATAAGAATGTTACAATTACTTAAGAACAGAGACACACTAGGATCAACTAAAACCTAAAGAATAAACCCAAAAACTAACAGATTAATGATTTAATCTCATAAAGCAACCAAAAGAGACAAAGCTCAGCTGAAAGAAAAAACACTAAGACCAATAGTAATAAATCTTGAAAAATATAGCTGAACAGAACAATATGATGGAAAATTTAAAACTTAAAGTGACCTTGCCCTAAGTAAAAATGTCAAAAAAAGGAGATAGAAGAATGAAACACAATGACAAAGCAAACAAAAAGTAACCTTTAGCTTATTAATATCATCACCAACATCCAAAGAAAACTATATGAACATCAACCACCATACAAAGTCACTACAAGTATAATTAATCTAGAGGATAAAAATAATTCCGTACTAAGATCACAAAGGTCAGCTCAACAAATAATTTCTTAAAAAATATTCAGCATATAGACCCCGTAAACTACTAAGATCACAAAGGTGCAGTGTGGATCCAACATTAAGAAATTTCTTTTACTGAAACATCATGCTCGATTTTTGTGCTCTGTTAGAGTTTTGTGCTCTGAAAAGCTGAAGCTAATCTGCCATTTCCACATTATTTGAATCAAAGCAGCTTAGGGACAAGACAAACACGTAATAGTACTAAAAATGTAGAATTTCACCTCAATTAACACTGATTTTTCACTCATGTTAATTGCAAGCACTTGACCACTCAAAAATAACATCATTTTTAGCAGTGAACTTGAAATCAACAAACCACTATATAAGAATGTTACGGTTACTTAAGAACATAGACAAACACTTGGATCAACTAACCTAAAAAGCACTTTTAAACTTATTCTTTTCATGAGTTTTTATGAAACAGATAGCAGGCTTTTGGGGTCTGAAAATATGGGCTATTTTTAAAGAAATAATGTAGGTTTTTAAGAAATGGGCATTTAAGGAATCAAAATGTTTAATTTTAAGAATCTTTTTGGGCTCTATGAAACAATTCGTGGGCTTTGGGGATAAAAAAATGAGAGCCATTATATTTTTAACAAATAAACTTGGGCTTGTCAAGAAATAAAAAAATTTAGACCACTATTAAGAGATATAAATTAAATTTTAGAGTTGAATATTTGGACTTCTAAAAAGCCCACTTAGGGCCCAAATTGTCTAACCCAGCTTGACTAAGGGTCTGTTTGATAAAAGTTATTGCTTAATTCTGATTGCTGAATACTGAAACAGAAATACTGAATTTATTAAGCAGTTAAGGAAAAAGTAATAAGCTGACTTTTATTACTTATAATTTGTACTGTAGTTTCAGCACCACTTATTTCATTAAAAAGTTTCATTTTTTGTCATCAAACATGCTGAAACACAAAAAAAAAAAGAAAACTTAATCCACTAATTTTAAGCATTAAGTAGTTTTATCAAACAAGCCCTAAATCGGTTACAAATGATCTGACAGTTTAGTCCAACGTTTTTAAGCAGTCTATTTGGCAGGAAAAATCCTGAACCAGACTATTAAGTTCGGTTTCAATTTTATAAACGATTTGGTCCAATATTTTTAAACAGCTGGTTTGACAGAGGAAAATCCCGAATGAAACTATTTGGTTTTACCACAATTTTATTTTTCTAAGATGCCAGTGCATGCCACTATATTAGGATGTCATATCTATCACAATTACTAAATACAACATTCCTTGACATCACCGCTTCCATTCTTCAGTGACAACATACACTTGTCACAGCACAACGATAAAGAAAAGTCGTCAATATTGATTACTCTACCAACAAGGCAAAATGTTGTCATTAACATGTCGTCACTAAAACTAGTGACAAGAGATAGATCGTCATAGGGGCGTGTAGTGACAAGAATATTAACTTGTCATTGAGGAAAAAACCATAGCTATAATGACAATATTTTAGTGACAAGATATCAACTTGTGACTAAACCTCCAGTTTCTTGTTAATGCATTTTATTTATCCTAATAAAAAATAGTAATGAAAAGTAAGGGCAATTACAATATTATAAAATTATATTCATTTTGTTATTTTTGACAAATAAATTACCACTTTTATTAAAAAAAAGTTTTAAGGTCATACCCCTTTCATTAATTTGACTCGTTCTACTGTCTTTTAGCCAAAAAAAAATTTTTTAAAAAAATACTCTTACCACTACTAAGTTAACGGCCAAGGATTTCCTATGTATCTACATATCAATATAATATATAACATACAAATGGAATGACAAATTAATTAAAATTCAAAGAGAAAATTTTTACAAAAACTAAAAGTTTATAATCATATGATAAAGAATTCATTAATAATGATCATATTTTCCTTATGAAAATTTCACACACACACACACACAATAATATCTTCTTATTTTTTTCTGATTCATACTTTGAACAAGTTAGAAAATGAAACAACTCAAGTTGATTTTTTTTTTTTTGTTGAGAAACCTAACACGTAAATATAGTTCTCTACAATTTCATAAAATAAACATTATCCAAACTAAGGAATTAAATTTGGGTAATCTTAAATTTTAACTTAATTATCTTTTATGATAGAGAGTGTCATAAGATTAATATTTTAAATTTATCCAAGTCTATCAAATTAAAAATAATTTAAATTTGTGCAAGAACTAAGAATTTTTATTTTTTATTTTAGGTTAAGAAATTAATTTTTTTATTAATATAATATCAAATTGAAAACATAAAGAATATTATTCCAAAAATTTCCTTGTTGACTCGATACTAAACTAGTCAAAGTGCATGAATAATGTCAAATGAAAAAAAAAAAAAAAGTTACATTTTGAATTGTACAGGACCATTTCAGGTAAATGTTAATATAAATGACCAAAATGTGGATGTGGACTAATGTAAAATACCATTTTCAAATTTTAGTCTTTTCATATTTAAATCCTCATTATCTCTCAAAAATATATTCCACATAGAATTTTGATATCTTATCGGTATGAATCCCAAAACTCAATTTTGACTATTTTCTAGGGACAAAATGGAGTACTATTTTTTGAATTGCACAAAGATTAAAAAAATATTAATGTCTATACTTAAAATACTGGTGCTTAACCCACATGTTGTGTGGGTTATATTAGTTTCGATTTTAAAATATGATGGTGTTTAATGAAAATGGATAAATGGATAGAAAACTTGTATAGTGTAGAATGGACTGAAATTCTATCAATGGATGTGAATTGAAATTTTTTTAAGTGATGTCATGTTTTATGGTTTCTAAAGTCGCATAAGAAATACTAAGAGTAGTCATCAACTTACACATAACTTCTTTATTCACAAAATCTAATAACTTGAATAAAATTCAAATACTACCATCTGAAAACTTTTAAGCACTGGTGGTGGACACCTTTTTAAAGCACTGGTGCGTAGATATATACATGAAAAAAAGTCACCAAAATTATTATTATGTTAACTATTTTTAAATCAAATCGACGATGAAAAGATAGAATCCATCGATCCTAATTCTCCTGATACTTCAAATTGTTGGAATTCTCAATGGTTTTTGTTAAATGGGTACATTTTACTATATAAATGTCTTGTGAACTTTTTTTTATGGTTTTTATCCTTTTTTTAATATTACCTCCGTCCCGAAAAAATAGTTCACGTTCAATTCTGAGTTTTGAATTTTGTATTATTTTTAGTACAAATTTGTCAAGTCGATGTAGACAATTTTTTTTTAGGACGGAGGGTGCATGTATTATCTAATGATTAAAAAACGGAAGACGCAGAAAGAAAAAAAAAATAGAGGGGAAAAAACCATTTTGGTTTCAAATCTTTTTCGGGTAGCAAAACTTGTTTCACTTCGTTTTTTTTTTTTTTTTTGTCCTTTCAAATTTATTGATTTATTTGTTGAAGTCGTTATATCCCAAGGCGTGGCAGGTAGCGCCTTTAACTCCCTCACTCATCAGAGTTAACCGGCTCCTACAGAATGACAGAAACCCAAGAAAGTGCTTTTTAGCTCTCAATCTCTTCCTCAAACAATGAAACACTAGTTTTTTCACTTCTAGTACCTTTCAAATTATTCTGTACTTTTCTGTTTTTGGCTTGATTCATGATTACGTCCTTCAAAATTTATAAAAACATCTTTTGATATAATTATCTCCCTTTTGCCCCTTTTGTTCATTCCTTGGCTTAGTAATTATTGATTTCTCTCCTGGGATTGTATTGTTTTTGAGCAAAAGGTTCCTTTACAGTTTTTGTACTTGTAGAATACGTCTTCTTCCGCAGTTGTGTTAAAGTTTGCTGCTTCTTTTCTGCAGCATTCCAGCTTCACAGTCTTCCTGTGTGTTTTGGGTTTGAGGATTGAGTTGATGTAGTAATTTTAGTAGGAAATGGGTCCACAGTGGTGGGAAAAGCTGATTCTTTTGTATCCTCCAATGACGCCGGGAAATTTAACAGAAGGATCTTTGAGTCGGGTTTTCAAGGAGATTTCCAAATTCGTGAGTTTTATGTAGATCAAGGGAATATAGTTTCATGCATTGCAGGTGTTTGATGATTTTCCAATCCGCCGCCCTCTTGGAATGAATAAGTTCAGGGCTAATTTTTTGGAGAAAAACTTGAATATTGGTCAAGTTCTTAGAGGTTTGATTGCAGATAAGAGTGTTATTAGTTGTGATGAACATACATTTGCTAGTGTTTTAAGGGCTTGCACTGCAACCAAACTTGAGCAAGATGGAATCGAACAACTTCATGCCAAGATGATCCAGTTTGGTCTCTGTTCAAGTTTACTTACATGTAATCCTCTGATCGACTTGTACTCGAAGAACGGGTTCATTAATTCTGCAAAGAAAATCTTTTATGGTATGCCTCTTAGGGATAGTGTTTCTTGGGTGGCAATGATATCCGGTTTCTCACGCAATGGACTTGAGGAATGCAGTATCCGTCTTTATAACGAGATGCGACGGTTTGGAGTCAGGCCAACTCCATATATTTACTCTAGTGTTTTAAGTTCTTGCTCAAAAGGTAAGTTATATGAGCTGGGATTGCAGCTTCATGGTGTTATCTACAAGTGGGGATATTCGTTCGAGATTTATGTATGTAATGCTCTTGTAACCTTGTATTCTGGTTTTGGTGACCTAGTGAACGCAGAACAAATTTTCAGCGAAATGCAGATGAGAGATGGAGCTTCTTATAATTCACTGATATCCGGACTTGCACTACAAGGATATGGTGAGAGATCACTCGAGTTATTCAAAAGAATGCACATTGATTCATTGAAGCCTGATTGTGTAACAATTGCTAGTCTTCTAAGCGTTTGCGCGTCTATTGGAGCACTTCGGAAGGGTATACAATTGCACACCTATGCGAATAAGGCTGGAATGTGTGAAGATACTATCATTGAAGGCTCTCTGCTTGACCTTTATGTGAAATGTTCCGATCTAGAAGCAGCTCGTAAAGTTTTCCTCGCGACTGGAGGAAAAGAAAATGTGGTTCTTTGGAATATGATGCTTGTGGCTTATGGGCAGAGAGGTAATCTGCATGAGTCGCTGCAGATATTTCAATGCATGCAGATTAAAGGTCTGCAGCCTAATCAATATACTTATCCAAGTATCCTGAGGACCTGTACTCTTGTTGGAGCTCTTGACTTGGGAGAGCAAATACATGGGCAAGTCATAAAAACTGGCTTTCAACTAAATGTTTATGTTTGCAGTGTGCTTATTCTTATGTATGCGAAACATGGAAATTTGGATACAGCGCTGCAAATTCTCAGTCGCCTTACTGAGAGAGATGTTGTGTCTTGGACCGCAATGATTGCTGGATTTACCCAGCATGACCGTTTCTTAGATGCCATAAAGCTTTTTATCAAAATGCAGGACCAAGGGATTCGATCAGATAATATAGGATTTGCAAGTGTTATCACTGCATGTGCTGGAATTCAAGTTCTCAATCAAGGACGACAAATTCATGCTCAATCAATCACATCTGGCTGCTCATTAGATCTCTCAGTTAACAATGCACTGGTAAGTCTTTATGCTAGGTGTGGAGAAGTAAAGGATGCGTACTCAGTTTTTGAGAAAAATAGTTATAAAGATAACATTTCATGGAATGCACTAATATCAGGGTTTTCCCAGAGTGGAAACTGGGAGGAAGCATTAAAAGTTTTCTCTCTGATGAAGCAAGCTGGAGTTGAATCTGATATGTTTACGTATGGGTCAGTAATCAGTGCAACTGCTAATACAACAAATATAAAGCAAGGGAAACAGGTCCATGCAGAAATCATAAAAACAGGTTATAATACCGAAGCAGAAGCTTCAAATGCATTGATCACATTATATGCTAAGTGTGGGAGCCTCGATGATGCGAGAAGAGAATTTCTCGCTATGCGTTGGAGGAATGAGGTATCGTGGAATGCCATGATCACTGGCTATTCCCAACATGGATGCGGCACCGAAGCAATTGAATTGTTTGAAGAAATGATTAAACTAGATGTGCAGCCGAATAGTGTCACCTTTATTGGTGTTTTATCAGCTTGTAGCCATGTTGGCCTGGTGGATGAAGGGCTCAGCTATTTCAAATCTATGACGGAAAAACATGGTTTGGTGCCAAAACCAGAACACTATGCTTGTGTAGTAGATATTTTAGGACGAGCAGGTTATTTGTCCCGGGCAAGAGAATTTGTGGAGTCTATGCCAATTGAACCAGACGCAATGGTGTGGAGAACCCTTCTAAGTGCTTGCACTGTACACAAAAACACAGAAATAGGGGAATTGGCTGCCAACAATCTCCTTCAGCTAGAGCCTAATGATTCAGCTACCTATGTTCTGTTCTCCAATATGTATGCAGCTTCCCGAAAATGGGAATATCGCAATCATGCAAGGAAACTGATGAAAGATAGAGGTGTTAAAAAGGAGCCTGGTCGAAGCTGGATTGAAATTAAGAACTTGTTTCATGCCTTTTTTGCAGGTGATCGAGTTCATCCTCTTTCGAATCAGATATATGAGTATCTTCAGGATCTAAATGTTAGGGTGACTGCAGCTGGTTACGTACAGGACCGTCATAGCATTTGGAACGATTTTGAGCTGGAGCAGAAAGATCCAGATGCCCTCGTTCACAGCGAAAAGTTGGCTATTGCATTTGGATTGATGAACTTGTCTGATTCAATCCCCTTGCACGTAATGAAGAATCTTCGAGTCTGTAACGATTGCCATAATTGGATTAAATATGTTTCCAAGGTTGCTAACCGGACAATTGTAGTAAGGGATACATACAGGTTCCATCATTTCAAAGAGGGTAGATGTTCATGCAAAGACTACTGGTAGCATGTCACCCCACTCCGGCATTCAATATGTGAATTAGGCTGAAGGTTATGGCTTCTCTCTGTTTAGAATCAAGTGTATATAGGATATATAGGAAACACTATCAAATGCCATAAAATGTGAGTAAAGTTTTGTAGAAATAACTTCGTTGCTCTTTCTCTAACTTACAGCAAAAATTGCTATAGATTCACCAACATAACCTCAGTCAAATCCTTTCTTGGAGAGGCTCCAATGAATCAACAACATCTCGCATTGACGGCCATTCTTTTGGTTCAAGATTCAAGCAATCTTGTGCCAACATGGCAACCTTGTAAACATCTTTCGAGGGATAATCTCATTCTAATCCTGGATCTACAGTGCTGAGCAACTTTTTATTTGCTTGAATGAAAGGCATTGCCCCCCGACTAAAATGTCCAAATGGTCCCTTATATTTGGGCCTATTTGAATTTACGTCCTTAACATTAAAATTTCAATATCGTAATCCCAAACATTATGTTTTCACACTTTTCTGGTCCCATTTCACTGTTTCCGGCCGTTGACATGCGGAATCAGGGGTATTTTTGTCTTTTAATTTAATTTAAATTTTTATTAAAATTAAAATCATTAAAATATTTTAAAATTCAAATTTCATCATTTAATTGTTAAAATTATTTATTAATTAAAAATATTATTGTACAATTTTAAAATTTATCAATATTTTAAAAATTACTTTTTTTATTTACTATTTACTTTAAGTACACAGTAAATAGTAATTATGTTGCACTTTTAACTTTAGGCCCACTGTAACTTAAAAAATTAACTAAGTTACAGTAAATAATTCAAAATTTATTTTTTAAAAAAAAAATAAAAAGCAAAACTAAGATTTTTTTTATTCTGACCACTACAGTAAACCCTAAATAGTAATTATGTTACAATTTTAACCTTGTACCCACTGTAACTTAAAACATATACCGAGTTACAGTAAATAATTCAAATTTTTTTAAAAAAAAAAAAAACAAAACCAAGATTTTTTTTACTTTGACCATTACAGTATACCTTAAATGGTAATTATAATACACTTTTAACCTTGGACCCAAAGTAACTTAAAAAATTTGTCGAGTTACAGTAAATAATTCAAAATTCAACTGTAGCAGTCAAAGTAAAAAAAAAAAATCTTGGTTTTGCTTTTTCCTTATTTTTTTTTAAAAAAATAAATTTTGAATTATTTACTGTAACTCGGTAAATTTTTTAAGTTATAGTGGGTCCAAGGTTAAAAGTGCAACATAATTACCATTTAGGGTTTACTATAGCAGTCAGAGTAGAAAAAAATGGTTTGGCTTTTTTTTAAAAAAAAAAAGAAATTGAATTTTGAATTATTTACTGTAACTCGATAAATTGTTTAAGTTACAGTGGGCCCAAGTTTAAAAGTGCAATATAATTACTATTTACTTTAACCTAAGATAAATGATAAACGAAAAAATTAATTTTGATAATAATGTAAATTTTAAAATTTATAATAATATTTTTAATTAATAAATAATATTTTAACAATTAAATAATGAAATCTGAATTTTAAAATATTTTTAATGATTTAAATTTTTAATAAAATTTAAATTAAATTAAAAGACAAAAATACCCCTGATTCGGGAATGTCAACAGCCAGAAATAGTGAAATTGGACCAAAAAAGTGTGAAAACATAATGTTTGAGACTACGATATTGAAATGTTAATATAAGGGACGTAAATTCAAGTAGGCCCAAATGTAAGGAACCATTTGGACATTTTAGTCCCCCAGATGGTTAGATACTTCTCTGTCGGTCTGTATCTATTGAATGCTCTTCTTCCAGTAAGCAGCTCCAAAAGAACTGCGCCATAGCTATAGACATCACTTTTAGTTGTCAAATGAGCTGAAAACACACCAAAAGAAGAGATATCATTAGTATGAGTATCAACTTTCAATTGAAGGTAATGGAATGTGAGATGGAAAGTGATACACAGGATACAGAGTGATACAAAGGATTAAAGCATGAACATTTTTTTACAGAAATTAATCGTGAAGGCTACCATAAAAAAATGGGGAAAAAGAAACAACCTGCACCCGAATATTCTGGTGCAGCGTATCCATATGTGGCGGTTATGCGACGAGAAAAATGCGATTCATCACTAAAAGGTCCATCCATTGATAGGCCAAAATCAGTGAGTTTTACATTGCAGTCCTGTTCACAAAGGGAAAAAAAAACTCAGGAAATTAACAATCTGTAAAAACTGAATAATGTGTTGTTGGGATTTAGTTTGATTCTGTAGAATAACCAATGAAATGTGATGATACAAGGTAAGACGATATGTCTGGTAACTTACAACATCTAACAGATTGCTTGATGCTTTAAAATTGCCGAAGATGACACTCCCAGTTTCATGCAGGAACGCCAAGTCCTCTTGCTGCACCAAATGCAATCTTCATCCTAGTTGACCAAGATAGAGGAGGCAAACGTCCTTGGCCTACAGAAAAAGTCTCTTAATTCAGACAAACTGGACAAAATTTGACAGGTAAAGGCCTAAATTCATCTTGCTGTGGAGAGTTATAACTGGGAGTACTTACTTGAAAATAATTTCTTGTCCACACTACCAAGAGCCATATTACTCATAAACTAGTACCCTGTGCACATCTTCACAACAGTATCCTATCAATTTCACTAAATTTGGATGAGAAAACTGGCTCAAGAAGATGACTTCAACCTGAGAATAATTAAGTCCAGAAAAATGATCACCAAGAAAGGCTTTCTAATTTTTTCCAAAAAACAAATTTAAAAAGGAAGAAGTTTGGAAGCATTTATACCATCCATTCTCCTTGATCCTGGCTGTTAAGGCGCGCATCGTACGCCTTAACAGAAACTGGTATTGGCAGAAGCCCTTTCTTAACATCCTCAGATAATAAGCCTTTGTACAGATTTCCAAGTCCACCTCCACCAATCAGGGGACCTTTTCTGTAGTTTTTCTTGATGATCATTAGTTCATGATTGGTGAATACATTCAAAGAGTTCGAGAGTGGTTGCCGTTTGGTGTCCTCTTTGCTCATGATTTTCCATGTGGTCTGCTTTGTTGTGTCTGAAAACCAGCATGAAAATGATTAGTTTAACCAATCAGTTTATATACACAATCATTTCTGAAGTATATTTAAAGGTTTTTGTCACAGATTCGATCCCACATTTTTGTTTGCAAAACAACCAAATACTTGTTACTAGGATTCTCGTGCTTCTCCATCTATTGCCTATAGGTTTCGGATTAGATATTCAGGTTCTTAATAGTTTTTAAAGTTGGTATGAACGAAAAGATGTTCATCCTATAAAGCATGCATGAAACATCTATTCTCTTTATAGGCTTACCTCGACTCCAAACGGCTTTCCTTGGCCAACCCGATAATGATTTTCGCACTCGACCTGAGTCCCTTTCTCCTCTGATGGTTAAGGCTAGATTGTGAGTTTGTTTCCAGTGTTAACTTCCTCTGGCATGACACTCTCATCGGGCGAATTAGATTTGCGATGAGTCAAATGAATCGACAGAAGGTTCTCCTCCACCAATCCAGGACCTAACTTATCATAGTTTTGATGCTTTTCAATTGCCTGCTCCAGACTTGATACTACTTGAGCCATTGTAGGTCGTCGTTTGGGCAGCTGGTTCAAGCAACGGTCAACAGTTTTCACAAATTTCCTGAGACTGTTAGACGAAATATCCCCCTGCAATCTGGGATCAACTATCGCACAAACATCACCATCTGCCATGCATTCTCGAAAGCATGGTAGAAGACTACCTTTTCTCCACAGTTTGTAGTGTACTCTGCTGGTTTCCCTGACAAAACTACCAACATCACCATGCCAAAGGAATACACATCGGATTTCCTTGTCAATCTGCGCGTTGCTAACTAGGCTGGATCCAAATAACCAAATGTGCCTTTAACTCTTGTGCTGACATAACTCTTAGACCCGGTAAATTTTTCCAACATAGACAGACCGAAATCTGATATCGTAGCTACAAAATTTTCATCCAAAAGTATGTTCTTATCCTTGATATCACGATGTATGACTCCGTATTCACTTCTAGGATGAAGATATTCCAGCCCACGAGCAGCACCTGTGCAAATTTTAAGCCTTTCCTCCCAGCTAAGAGGATCATGTTCTTTTCCCTTTCTTGCAAATTTATAAAGATTGTCAGCCCAGTGTGCCACCAGAAATGTACTGATATACAAGAATCATTTCGCTATGCTCATTATAATAGCCTATCAAGGAGACAAGATGGATATGGCGAAGCTCTGAAAGTGTTTCAATTTCAGTCCAAAACTCAACAGCTCCTTGCCTGGAGTAAGAATTCAGCCTTTTTATTGCAACAATTCCGGGAACACCAGGAATACTAACTTTGTAAACTTTACCAAACCCGCCCGTTCCAATGACCAATGAATGATTGAAGTTTTCTGTGGCTAGCTTGATCTCAGCAAGCGAGAAGCAAAGGCAAGATAGCTCAACTGAGTCTGACTGATCCGCACGTTTTCCACCTCGGATGATACTCTACTCTCTTCTGAAAATTTCCTCAACTTGTAAGTTTGATGCTTAGTAGCATGATGACGATTGTCATGACAGTACCAATAACATTTCTGCTGACAAATGCCCTTGAAAAAATCTCCATTATCAGGTTCCGAGATCCTGGTAGAAGCATGAGGTTCTTAGGTGCTAAACTGTTTTCATGGTTGCTCAACTTGAATATCTCCAGTTCATGAAGGAGCCCAAGAACTACCTCATCAATTGATTTTAAACCAATCAACAGGTCATATTTGCAGCCTTCTCTATCTCCTACCTTCATCACTATATAGTCCTTGTAAATTGGGATCCCTACATCCCCAATCCATATAAGGACATTAGCCTGAGTTTCTGCAATCTGATTATTTATAACAGTACTGAACTCCCTCGACTCGCTCCCATCGCATGGTTAAAATCACAGAAATGAAGCCTAACAAGATATCTAAATCCTGAGTCCACCGGTATCTTCCATGTAAAGTTGTAATACATCTGGCTTACTGGTGATCCCGCGCCTGTTTTCCAGGATGTCAGGTAAATTTTCGCTGGCGCAGTGAATGCTGGAATGTTTTTACACTTCATCCTCAAAACCACCAAATGGTTCACCCGATGAGCTTTGCCCGGTTTAAGAAAGTGACTGGTATCCTCATTCCTGTGACGAAACATCCCGAGATCCTCCATTGAGTTTATGGAGTACCCTCCAATGGTGAACCTGTGTACCGCTTCAAGAGCAGTGCAGAGCAGTGCTATTATCAACAACGTGAAATTGATCGCTAATTTCACCAACTATACGGGCTCCGAGCTCATGTTCAGGGGTATAGTAAAGACCAACTGGCATTGAAATGATCTCAATAGCATTCAAAAAAGCATACGTCTTTTTCTTCTTTGACTTGCCAATTATCTAACAAGGAGAAAAGGTTATAGTTAGTTGTTTGTTTTCAGATTCTATACTGAAAAGAAATTCTTTTATGATATACTTTAGGCCCAAAGTACGAGCAGCAAGTGAAGCACTGTAGTCTCTAAGAAGGGTAAAATGACCGGCTTTAACAGTGAAATAATCTATCCATGTTTCAAAACCATGGTAGGAAGCAGGGTAAAAATGTAGGCGGAGGATTTTCTGACCTGGGTTCACCGGAAATCCATACCGGAACTCGGTGGCAGAGATTCTTGAATTTTTGTACGGAACAGGAGGATCAGCAGAAGGTCTGGCAGACCTTCTTGATGATTGACCCAATAACAAGAATTCAGGGCCTGATTCTCCAACCCATTCACGGCCATCAGGGGCAGTTGAGTTGCGAATGGAACCACAGTCAATCGAAAGATCCTGATCGAACAACTGGCATCAACTACAGTTTGCTTGCTGGCCGACAGAATTCCTAGGTATGCAACTAAGATCACCATAAACGATGACTTAGACATGTCTTTCCAAAGCTTGGTCTTCGTCATTGAATGTTTTTAATCTTTATGTTAGGAAGAATAAAATAAATTAAAACAATAGTGTCTTAATTATTTGAGATTCTCTTGAGCGAAATTGTAATACACTAAAATATATTAATATTGTTTTTATTTGAGTTCATATTTTATTTTTATGTGGAATATTAGTTTCATTTAAATGATTTAATCTTTATGTTAGGAAGAATATAATAAATCAGAAAAATAGTGTCTTTATTGTTAAATTATATTATTAAAAAAATTAACATACTTAAATAAATACAATCATGGGTTACAACAATACAAAAATTAATTTTTACAATAGAGTTTGAAAATAAATAAATATTTTTTCAAAACTCATATAATAGACTTTTATGGTCATTAAAAGTAGTAAAGAGAAATGGAACAAGATAGAGAAAAATAAAATAAAAAAAAGTGAAAAGAGACTGTTTTGTTATTTTTATATATTTTAGGGATTATTTTTAAAATTTTTACAAATTATTTGGGTATTTTTATAATTAATTTTATTATTTTATTAAAAAACTAACGGAGATTCGTTAATTTAGATGGAAAATAGGCTGATTGGACAAAATTGGCAAAAATTTTAAACATTAAGGTAAAGTTAGCTAACCGAAAATCTATTAAGTATAATTGACGACGAATGCAAAGTTTTGGATAGGAAATTTTATACCATTTCATCGTTTATGCATAAGAATCATTAGTCCCAAAACAATAAATAAGATCTACTGTTTTTTTACATGGGAAGTTGTCCACCGTTGATAGCTTCTACAGTAAAAGGGAACTTAGAGGATTAAGTTGGCTACCAAATAAAGTGCAGAGAGGTACTAAAAAAATGAACTACTTTTCCCACCATGATATCAAGCTATTTCTCTAATTGTTCTTGTTCTTCTTCCCAACCCATTCAACTTCCACTTTTCGCAATTAATAACCAATCTTCTCACTTTTACAAGTACGATTACAGTCCTATAAACGGACATCGGATTTGGGTTTTTGGCCAAAGAGGAAAGCTTTACCTTAACAAATGTCTGGGGCAGAGAAAAAATTGGCAAGTAATTTCTTCATCATATCTTGACAAAAATAACAACACTGATGAGAAGGATAATGCTGGTAATGGGGGCAGCCAATCGACCAGTTTGCTTTCTTTTCTCTGCCCTCTTCTCAAGCTCTTCTCTGTAAGCAATCAGCTCCCAATTGAAAAAAAAAAAAAAACTGTTCTTTGTGGTATGTGCGTCAAAGTTTTCGATAAGGTTTCTTAATTCTGTTTTTTGTTTTTTTTTTTTTTCTGGGAATTGGAAGTTCGAAATACATTATTGAAAAGTTTATTCATATTTACTCTGTATTCTCTTGTTGATTTTGAAGGACACTTTTCCTATTTTGGTTAATGATTTTTTACTCAAGTGTTTGTAGTTGCAATTGATGGGACAACTGATTAGAACGCCATAAGATGAGGCCAAAACTCGAAGGCAAAATTGGGAATGAAGTTGGATTTTGATTTTCTTCATGGTTCTTGGTAGGGACCAACATATTAATTTATCTTTGGGAGTTTGGATACAGAGGCTAAATAAGTTAATTAAGTTTTTCTTCTTTGGGAACTTTTTGGTTGGAGGAAAAGGCTGATTAGTGTATTGAGTAAGTCAATTTTAACATAGTGAAATGAAGAGGAAAGTTGAAGCTTGCAGCTTTTGCAGAATGCTGGCTGTCAAATATTAATGACCAGGATAGTATCATAACGCGCTCTTTATGTATTCAAAAGCTTCGTAATTCTTTCCTTGAACTCCGGAACAAAGTATCATAACGCGCTCTTTACTCTTAAGAAGTTTGGTAGCTGGGGTATGTGGGTGGTTTGACAGGAAGAGTAAAATTCAATCTCCCTTCTGAATGCAATTTGGTAAATGGTATTATTCTTTACATGATTTATCAAGGGGAAGATTATTTTGCTACATTTGCCAAAATACCGTCGTATGCCTGCATGGGCGAGGATTCGTACAAGGAGTGATCTCTATACTGAACTCTTTTTTGCCAGTAAGCAACAGTCTAATCCCCGAGATGATACTAAGATAGTCATAGTGCAAACTGTACAAAAGAGGCTTTTTTGATAGTATCTGTTGATTCCAGTGAAGGAGCTAATAATTTCAATTGTTAGTTTCTCTTTGGAAAATGGCTCCTGAACTGGGTATTAATCATTCAAATATAGGGCAATTTAAATCTTTGGGATCGAGAATTTGTCGTTGGCTTTATTCCTGCTTTCCAGACGTAGATGATCTTCTTCCTCTTGCTACCTGTTGTATGGTTCTTATTTTTCTTTTGTTGCATTTGGTTTATCTGACGCGCCACTGTTTTTTTCCTTGTAGGGAGGAGATCCCTCTAAAGAACGGAACTACTTATTTGAGGTAATTTTGCAGGACTGAGTTTATTATCTACATTTTAGTTTTTTGAATGAATTCAAAGCCATAGATAAAGTTACTGAAGCGGGGAATCAAAGAGAGGAATTAGGTTGCTGTTACTCCATTGCTCTAAACCTTGATTCTGTTCCTCACTCAGATGTATAGAGATTTCCATTAAATGAGATGCTTGTAACAGAAATGGAGTTTGCAGAAAGATAAGAAAGAGGGCACTATTTCTTTGCTTTTGTAAGTTATAAATTTATAATATATTAAAATCTGTTAATAGGACTAGCTGGGAGAAGGTTGAGCAAATCCTTTAGAGTTTGCTGCCGCTACGAGTATGAATCAATAATTTGTTGCATGCTGAGTTGAAAAGTTATCCAAGCTTAATGGCTTTCACTTTTTGAGCCTGCAATGCATTTGGGCTCTTTTCCTGTTTTATCTGGGACTAAACATGATTAACTTGTTTCCGTTTCATCTTAAATTCATCTATGAATGTCTAATTTTGCAAGTTTTATTTTGTATTTGAAAATATTACGCTGCTGGATAAAACTGCATAGAAAACCATGAATTCACTTCGCCAAGTCCTTTCATTTTGGTTGGAATTCAGACTTCCCTTTATGCCTTTACATTTGCCCATTCTTAGCTTTGGGTCGTTGATTGCAGGAAACAACATCTTCCTTGTCTACAATTGCAAGGCTTCCTTGGGGCTCAAGAGCAATCTTTAATGGGAGTCAAAATGGTGATGCTGTCAATCCTCCAATTCGCTTACAACTCTATGAATTTGGTAAGATTTATAGTAATTATGTTCATTGTGGTTCCAGAATTAAAATCTCTTCTTCTTCAAACTTTCCTTCATCTCAAGATATTGCATTTGAATTGATAATGACTGGAAATAAAAACTTCACTGAAATTCCCACTAGACTAAATGGGGATGGGATGTTACATATAGAAGCCTTTGTTATCAAAGAATGTATAGTCTCCTTTTAATGTTTAAATCCAATTGGAAACTTGCATCTTTGAACTTCACCATTTCAGATAGAATGTATACATTTATCATCAGCCTTACAACTCTGGAACTTCTCCCTCGTCTGTTCACAAATTCCAAAAAGTCGAAACCACTGGAATCTTTTTTATAAAAATATTAAAAAAAAAAAAACACACACACACACACACACACACAAACCACAGAAATATAGCGGTATACCCTGGTGATGGTCTTAAATTCTGTTGTTATTTGGTGATGCCCTCGGGTGCCAAGTACTACTTGTGTGCCAAGTATCAATATACACTCAACCTTTAGTCAGAGGACTATATTAGCTTGATCAACCATTATATTATCAGTTCTCGAAGTGTGAATGTTTCTAGTTTATGTCAACAGAAGCATGCCCATTTTGCCGAAGAGTTCGAGAGGCTTTGACTGAGCTTGATCTATCTGCAGAGGTCTTTCCATGTCCTAAAGGTTCAGTTAGACACAGGGAATTGGTCAAAGCATTTGGTGGAAAAGAACAGTTTCCATTCCTTATTGATCCAAACACTGGAGTTCAAATGTATGAAAGCAGTGATATTGTAAACTACTTATTTCAGCAATATGGTAAAGGAAGGCCCCCTTCAACTGGTCTTTTGGAGAGCACACTAGTGACGGGGTGGATGCCAACTTTACTACGAGCTGGCCGAGGAATGACATTGTGGGAAAAATCTACAGAGGAAGGCCCAACAAGGAAGTTGGAGCTTTTTTCGTACGAAAACAATGCTTATGCTCGGTTAGTACGGGAAGCATTATGCGAATTGGAGCTTCCATACGTACTTCAAAATGTGGCTAAAGGGTCGACGAGGGAAGCCTTACTTCTTTCTATATCTGGATCAAATGAGGTAAGCCTCATATCAGATCTTTTGCTATTCAACTGTTGTTGCTTTCTTTTCAGATGCCTCAACCAATGTGTTCCTTAAATCTCCATGGTAGATGTTCTGGATTAAATTAGTCCGATTACTGAGTAGTCTTTCAGATTAATTGGTAATGATGTTATGAACTTTGTCCCCATACTGTTTCATCTTAATGATGAAAGGGTAAATGGCTAGGCTCCAGTTGATAGGTAAATAGGCTGGTCATATTTGGTAGTTGATCAAGAGTAAATCCAATTCATTCAGAGTGGTGTTCGGTTGGATCAGGTTGAATTGTAGTTGTACTTGTGAGTCAGACAACTTATTTAGGAAAATCCAATTTTGGCAAGCTATCTTTACAGATTACCATATAAATTCAAATTTGATTCTGGCTACTATTGTTAATTCTGTGATTCTGATTCTAACTGGTGTCCCAAAACCTCCACTAGTTGGAAACTAATAGATGGTTGACTCAGAATTTTGCATGGTGGATCTTGGTTGTATTCGCTACCTCGACTTCTGTTGCTACATTTGCAATATTTACGAAGTGAACTATATGAAATTATGTGGACATATTTTGGTACAGGTTCCTTTCCTGGTTGATCCAAATACTGGTCAGCAGTTGGGTGATTACCGGCAGATCATATCCTACTTGTTCAACACATATTCACTGCCCAGTTTGTAGTTTTCTTTGAAGTTGGAAATGTAACTAGTAGCCATACCCATTAGGAAAATATTTTCAAGCACAAGTTTATCAGACAAGTGATTGATTGATTGTACTCAATATAAAAGTTTGATGCACTGTGTACTGCAGCCTGTTAGTGTTAGCTCTATTCTATGTGAAGTGAGAGATTGAGAATATCAACACCAGCATAAACCCTTTCCATTACAAACCAAATAGACGCAGTTACAGATAAAAACCAAAACATCAAATTATTCCAGGCAGCTAGCTCGAGGAATCGCATAAAAGGCATCACTTCATAAAATGAAAAAAGAAACAAACACCAAACAAATGCATAATCGATTTCAAGATGGACTATCATTTCAGATGGCACTTGAGATATTCTCGATCTTTTTCCTTCAGTACCGAGAGAATCCAACAATGCGGGCTGATTGCAGAATCTGAAAAGTGTAAAACAGAGAAGCTTTACTTGCACCCATGATTGCGAAAATGATAGATGCAATTGCTAAACAAGAGTGGACTAATGAATAAAATACCCTATATTACCTGGTATGGTAATGTCAATGATCAGGAGGATGTATTGAGAGCTTAAAGCTGTTGTGTCTGATGGCTTTTTGCTGTAGTTCCAGCTTCAACACCTGGATTCTCCTTGCCTGAGTGGCGACTTAATGATTAGTGGAGTGAAGCGATGTAACTGGAGGTCAGGAATATCTGCCAAGCCTTTCGGCAAACCTTGAAGCTTATTGCAGCCATTAAGTTCAAGACTTCTGAGTTTTGGAAAATGAACTCCTTGAGCTTCCCATACCCAGTGCACCAAATCAGTGCGCCCGATGTGCAAGTGTTTGAGACATCTGAAACAACCCGTTTCAGTATTCCAGTGCAGTTTGTATAGTTCATACAACATCTCCAACCCTTGACATCAAAATAGACATATATGCCACAATTCAGACATCTACATACAAACGCGTCCACAAATTTACCGATCCCATGGAAGAGAAAAAAATGGAGGTCGAAAAGTTCAAACCCTTTCCACTGTCTCACCTGAGAGTTGTAAATGTGAAGTTTTCAGACCGACTCCTGAACTCAAAAAGTTGGGCATACAAGGGAAGGTAGCCTAACTTTTTTGGGCAAGTGGTGAATCAGATTTATTTGGCTATCTCAGCAAGTTAGAGTTTCTTGGAAATCTGAAATTGCTGAATGATGATGTGAATGCCCAATTGTACAGGCTTCCTCCGGAGAGAAGCTTTCCCCAAAAGTTAACGAAGCTCACACTGCTCAAAACTTTTCTGGACTGGAAAGAAATGTCCACATTAGGTAAGCTGGAATATCTAGAGGTTCTCAAGCTGAAAGAATTTGCCTTCCAGTGCACTCCTTTGAAGGCAACATACTCCATGTTCAAGTATCGCTCTTGTTTTATAAGCCCTTCAGCGATTAATAGGCGTATCAACTTCCACGTTGGAATCTCAAAGTCTTCGCGGAACAGTCCAAGACAAAGAAAGCACAACTTTAACTTGTTCGGCCAGTGCTTAAACATAAGCTCTATGACCTTGCTAGTTTCCTCAATTTCCCTAGAAATGTAGTCTTTAACACTGTGCACCACATTGCTCCATAGGTCATTGCTCTCAGGATCATTCACAATGATACCTGCGATAGCAACTAACGCCAAAAGCAATCCAGCACACTTCTCAGCAATTCTGGTCTCATAATCTTGCAAGTGCTTTGGGCATTCATTCCCCTGAAAAATTTTCCGGTTGAGTAGCTCTGGACTGTTCTCCAGCGTCAAGAAGTCTAACTTATATGGATCGGCGTTCTCCAGTGTCCTGAAAAATATTGTTTTCCATAAAACTCATTGTAAACATGTTTTTCCAACTCTTCTTCTCCCATCTTGTTCACCTTATCATTGACATCTGAAAAAGAATCCAAAATCTTGAGAAGCACTTCTCTTTTCTTGTATTCTTTTGAAACATGGACAAATTTCCGAATCATGAACTCGTAATCAACCTTAGGGTCCTTGAAAACCTTTGTCGCCAGTGTCGTTTTCCCAAGCCCTATTCCAACTATTGAGATGACCTCAAGCTGCTCTGGACCTTCAGTGAGGAGTTTTTGCACTGTTTCAGCTGCTCCATCAAACCCAATCACATGTTGCTCTTCAACTTTTGGCGCCTGTAATGTTCCACCACAGAGGAAGGAAAATGAAGACTTGAAGGACAGCCAAAACTTCAAATGATTAACAAACGAATAATGATCCAAAGTTGGATCGATTTCAGCGGAGTTGGCATTATAATCCCATATGATGGAATTGGTAGCCACACAATTCATAACATATCATCTATTTCTTACTTTTTCAATATACTCCCGTCCGTCCCAAATTTATTGTCGAGTTTAGATTTTCATTTTTAGTACAAATTAAACGAAAAGTGAAAATCCAAACTGAACAATAATTTTGAGACAGATGGAACGACTTTTTTTTTATATTGTAACTGGACGAACAACCATGCAAATTGAAGTGAAAGTTTTTGATAAATTGTCTTGCATGTCTCACAAACTGGCAAATCATATAGCTCTAAGTAACTGAAAAATCCACTATGAAATCCATGCTAAGTAGACTCTATCTAGAGAGATGGAGTGTTTTTATTTAAAAAAAGAGAGAGAAAAAAAAGAAAAGAAAACGTATTTTGTGTATCTTTCAATTTAGACCCTAAGTCCTTTTCTTTTTCTTTTCTCTTTTGGGTGACTTGTGAAGTCTTTTTATATTGCTTGAACAAGTCAATCGGCTTATGTTGACAATGAAACCAAAGTAGTTGTTGTGGTAGAGTGAAAGAGACTCTTTTACCCTTAACCATAGGTCGAGGTTTCGAATCTCGCCATGAGCATGGAGTAATCTTAAATACTTTGGTCAACTGTCCCACCCATCGAGATGCTTACAATTCAGCGAGGGGGATTAGTCACTGAAATTATACTTCAAACAACACAAGACAAAAGCATTAAGCTAGATACGTATGTACCTCTTTAAAGGCGGTTTTATCATCATCTTGAATAAGTTTGATTGCAGCTTGATGCTGTAAAAGCTGAATACCTCTGTTAACTCCATCCTGATTAATAACCTTAATCTTCTCACTGACCCTTCTCATTTTTTCCCCAACTTCCAAAAGTTTCTTTGGATAATCAGTGATCTGATGATAAGCTCTTTCCAACCAACTCCTCGCTTTCTGCGCGCCGGCATAAAGCAAGAAAGTGTCCACTGCATCCTCAGCTTCAAAGATTACGGCCTTGATATCCTTCACGACGCCTTCCACGATTTCACTGTCGTGATTATACCTCGAGAAATCGTTCATCACGCTTTTTAACTCCTCCAGTTGTTGTTGAAGCTCCGCAACATTTCCCCTCGCATCGCCGATCAAATGGTAGTAGTGTTGCAGGGCTTGGCTTATGTTTTCTAGCAGAAATGTCACTGCTGCTTCGGGAACCTGACATTTTTCTTTGAATCCAAAATTTTCTGCAGTTGTGAGACAGATTTGGAAGATATAGTTTCGATGAAGTTCAGAAATGCTCTTTCATCGCAAGTCTTATAGTCAAGAATAAGAAGACTTTGAGACGACTTGTAAACTTACACTATACCATCGATCTGTCCAATAGTAATAGTCATTTGTATTGATCTTCGTACACCTTGTATAAATAACTCAATCTAATGAAAACTAAAATGTTTCGTATATAATCAAAATTTTATGATTATTACGGAAAGGTGAAACTAAATTAAGTTCAGCGCACCTTCCTAGAATATCTATGATTAGAGTAATTTTGTTGTAATACGGAATTAAACTTCTTATGTTTTGGTAAGAAAGTGGATAGAAATAGTCGATGAGGACTAGCTCACATTCAAGTAATTTCTTGGGCACTTTTTCTGTCACACTGTATCGAAATTTTTTTTTCTTGGTACAGTATCGAAATTACTTTGTAGTCTCAAAATATGTTTTTTCTTGGTACAGTATCGAAATTACTTTGTAGTCTCAAAATATGTGCTCTCATAGGACCTGAAAGTATGAAGGTCCAAAGCATCTCACATGCGAAGCTAAACCTAGAAAGATAGGTAAATTATGCACATATCTCAAGCTAGAGGTCAGTAATATGACCATCCATGGCCACTAGAAAGTTGAGCTCTCAGCCATATAGAGTTCGGTTTCAAGAAAGCATTTCGCCAGCCATCTATAAATTTGTCCAGTTACAAAGATTTCAGACGCATCTTCTGCCATCAATAATTTTGTCCAGCAACAAAGATTGGGACTCATCAACAACAGCATGATGATAATCTCACTAGTCACAAAGCTTCGCAAGAATCATCAATAGATAAAGCCATTTCTTTAATCTTCTAAATTATAAAGAGAACAAATAATGAATGATGCTGCTGCCAGTGATTCAAGCATTAACCGCGCATATCCTCCTACGCTAGTTATAGATTATTCCATAACTTAAAAAGCTTCACATGCCATAGTCATACTAATAGTACAAACAAAAGAGTAACATTAAAGCCTCCATTTTCCAAAACTTTCAAAAGCAACCTGTACTATCTGCTTAAACTACTACTCATAAATTGTGTCCGTAGACCAAAACGGCCACAGTTAGTAAGATCCATCTTCTCGTTATTTTGTAACACTTCTAAACTTCCATGCATCAACTGAATGCTCTCTTTCTTCATCAACCAAGGCAACCTAAAAATTCAAATTCCAAAAATCATTCAGATGCCCAATGATTAACTTGAAGTATTATTTGTGTCAGGGAGGCTCAGCACAAAAGTGAATGCTAAAGTGGAAGTGCAACAAAAGCCACTTAAAACACTAACACAAGGACAGACACCGTGAAAAATTATTCTCTTACATATTGGATAACATATGACATCCAAGAATAATTAGAACGGACAAAAAGAAAAAAGAAGAAAACCACTCACTTGAACCAAATGCCAGGAGTCAAGCTTATTTGTAATCAAATGTTGGTGGAGCGGGAGCATCAAAGCTCTCCAAGACCTCAGTTTTGCTTCCTTTGCTCGTAGCTGCATCATCCTTCTTTCCACCACCAAAGAAACCACCAAACCATGATGAAGATGATGATTCAGATGGGGATGATGAAGATCCAGAACCCGTGCTTTCAACAGTCACAGGACCTTGACCTGGTAGTCCTTGACCAGGCAGTCCACCCATTTGATATCCAGGGATGCCGCCAGCAGGCAATGGCTCCTCGAACTGTGGCATAGCTTGTTGTGTAGCCACCATTTTGTTTATCATAATTCCAGCTCCCTCAATCAAGGCTAGCAGTACCCCACCAAACAAGGCTGATCTTGAAGAAGCAGCAAACCCTTGACGCACCGAAAGAAAGCCACCGGTCGCTGCACCAGCAATAATTGAGTTCCAAGGGTCCTCTTTTTGTCGAAGATAAACCATTGAGCAATCAAATGTGGAAAAGAGTCCACCCCACACAGCAAAACCACCACCAACTCGACCTGCATTCATGCGGACTGCTTGGGTACCACCAATTAATCGGTCTCCTTTTGGAGAATTATAAATTCCTTTTAAGAAGTGGAAAGCTGCACCTCCAACAGCGCCCATAGCAAATGCTCCACCAACATCATCAAGTATACGGTCAGGGCAAGGTTCACGAGAGTGCTCTGGAGTACCCATAGAAATAAGACAAGCAACGGAAAAACAGGATGGTGGAAGGACAAGATTGGCCTCCTAAAAGGTTTCGCTAAATTAAGTCTCCTAACAATTACTTCAGGGATCAACCCACATTCCCTGCACGGAAGGAAAAACATCATAAAACGATTAGTCAATCTGGCCAGAAACTATGACATATTCATTAAAATGTTCTTCAATAATTTCATAAAAAAGACTCTTAATTTGCAATTTCTTTCCCATTATAGAATTGTGTACAAGAAGCCACAATAGAGCAATGAATGAAAAGCATAAAAATGTCATGCTCAATGCTCATGTAAGAGTGAGAATACACAAATTCTCAACTAGAGAGAGTGTAGCAATTGGCAAATAATCATAAAATTTACAATCTATAAAAGATGAACCAAGGCATTAGAAGTATTAAGTGGAATTTTTAAGAAACTTTCTACAGCAGAGGGCCAACATGCTGTACTAAAACAGAGTCATACAGAATGGAAACATACTAAGTCAGAGATGACAATTAGCACAAAATTGCCCTGAATCACAACAAAAGCCGTTCAAATATTGCACATGAAAGAAACAGAAGGTCAAACATTTTAAACATACAGTTGAAATCAGAAATTCATTTCAGCAATCAGAAAGTAAAACAAAATCAAATAATCAAGCAATGATTCAAAATAATGGGAACCAATTACCATGGTCTAAAATCCCCCAAAAAAATAAAATAAAATAAAATAAAATACAGTTCCATAAAAATAACAGAGATGCAATTCATCCTCAGCTTAATGGAAGATGTGAATTTTAGAGATAACTTCATAGGAAGTGGCTACAACTTTGCCAACCTATTAAAAATTACTTCGAACAACATAAATTAGCTTTTATTTTGCCAACGAATGATTACTTGCAAAATCTTAGATGCCTAATGTAACTCAACTCATACATCAACATGCAAAAGTTTAAAACTTCAACAGGGAGAAAATGCTAACGCCCAGACACGAATTGTTTAGATTCGAAACGGGGATTCATTCAGGCAGTTTCACAGGATTTTCAGGTCCTCAAGTTTGGAATTCTACCGAAAACGAGAAAGTTAGAATCGGGTCAGAAACAAAACCCAAAAATCATAACTTTAACTCAGTTGGTCACATCCACTTTAACCAGAACTTAAGGGCTTACACTAAACCCTGAAGAGCCTCAACCTGCTTTCCCCTACACCCCAACAACAAGGACAAAATAAAAAACATGAACTTGCAGAGCAATTGGAACTAAACCCTGAAAAGCCTGAACCCTTAACTCAATCCTGCCTTCGCCTACACCTCAACAAGAAGGTAAGAGAAAATAAAAACACAAACTTGCAGAGAAATTCCTACATAAATTACAAAATCGGTACCCAATTACTCGTCTTCGACACTAATCACAACAGAGGAAAACGCAACACCATAACAAATCCTATTAGCCGCCCACAAATTATAAGATTTCTCAAAAATTAAGTTTCAAAGCTCAAAAATAACAGCCAAAAGACTTCAAATATTCAAGCACAGAATAAAAATAAACAATCTTCAAAACAATCTAGACAACACACACCGAATCATCGCCAAGAACAATTCAAATAAGAAGAGTATAGAGAGCCAACGGCGGAGACGGTGAGCCCTCACCGGGTATCGACTCTGAAGGGACGCCGTAGATCAGAGGAAGAGAGGGCGACCGGCGGCAGCGATTGGGGAAACGCGACGGCGGAAAGGCTGAAGGAGAAGAGTGAAGAAAAATCTTGAGTTTATTAAACCCCGTTAACTTGGGGAGTTGGCAATTTACGAAACCTAAACCGGATGCGGGTCTGAGTCGGGGTTTTTTTTTATGTGGATTGTGCAAAAAGAAAAGGAATATTAAACATTTAGGAAAAATTTGAATTAGGGGCGGTGGAGACTAACTAAATACAGTAATTAATAAAAAAGTAGTACTCTTTAATAATTTGTATTAAGAGCCTAATAATTAAACGACACAAACATGAACTCTTGAAATAAAAGCATCTTAGTTTTTTTCATTTTTAAACACATAAATTAAATCTTTTAGTGATTATTACTTCCTCCGTCCCATAATTATTGTCCAGTTTTACTAAAATGAAAGATTTTATTTTTGGTCAAACTTAACTATATTTTACCTTAAACAACCGGATATACTCCTACATAAGTAATTGTTTAACCACTAAGATTTTATGGATAATGTTTTTTACTAAGGACAAATGTGTAACTTGATCCATAAAAAGTCAAATTGGACAATAATTTTGGGACAAAATTTTTTGGGTAAAGTGGACAATAATTATGGGACGGAGGGAGTATATTTTTGTATCAATATGGAAAATGTAATAATGTATTAAAGGATGGGAAAAAAAATATTATGTTGACTTTAAAAATAAAAATGTTAATAATTCTTAATTCTTGATAGGGGATTTTTTTTGTATAATGTTAATATTTTTAAATAAATATAACCTTAATATTTTTTTATTTTTTTGAGTAAATTTTTTTTTTAACTTTCATATAACACCCTCCCCACCTCCCCTCCCGAACTTGTATTTCAAACGAGACATACAACATATTTACAAGAATTAATTAAACTACTTTCATGTTATGATCAGTGAAATTTTTAATCCATTAAGCGGAAGGAAGCTTATTTAACATTTAAATATAATAATATCAAAAAAGATTTTATTTTTAAGTATATGTGGTCACTGACCACTTTAGTATTTTTATATTAATCAGGCTACATGAGAAAAATAAATAAAATTAACTTAAAGTATTTAGATTCATATAGTAGGTTTTTTATTAATAGCTAAGTTTAAAATCAATATAAAGAGTAGCCATTTATGGCTTCTTCTTCATTCATACACTCTCACTTGTGCATCTTTTTCTGAATCTGTTGTTTGAATTCTCTATCTTAATTTTATTGTAATTGTTATGTTTTCGATTCAAACAAAAAAATAAAAGAAGCTAAATTTAAGTTCATGTTTGTTTAGTTGAATTGATATGCCCTTAATATAAATTATTCAAATGTGTTGCCCTCTTTATTAACTATTTAGTCTCCACTCTCTTTATCCAAATTTTTCCAAACATTTAACTATCACAAAAGTACCATAACTTGGGGTTTCGTCTTTATTATATATCTCACGTTCAAATTGTCTTTATTAAATATCATAAGTTGATTTTTTGTCTTTTTTCACTTTTTCGTCCAAAAATCGTTAAAATTGTAACGGTCAACTGTTGACTTATCAAAAAGGTAATTTTGTCTTTTAAGTCAAAATAATTTTTTCTTTTAAGTAAAAATTCTGTTTTAAATTATTTTTATTTAAAATAATTATTTTCTCCTTTTGATAAGTTACCAGTTGACCGATTGACGGTTAAAATTTTAACGGTTTTTGGACCGAAAAGTGAAAAAAGACAAAAATTTTAGTTATGGTATTTAATAAAGACAATTTGAACTTGAGATATATAGTAAATATGAACCCCAACTTATGGTACTTTTGTGATAATTAAGTGTATATTAAAATTATATTTTAATTACAGTTGCTTGCCTCAAAAGTTCCAAAAAAGTAATTGCTCCTTGAAAAATAAAATTGATGAAAAATTAGTTAATAATGATTTGAAACTAATTACATCTTACACCTTTGAGGTTAATATAAATTGCTAATCAAGCTTGTAAGCTTAAAATACTACTAAACCCTCTTTGAATGTTTTTAAAACTTTTATCTATCAACCACTTGAAAAATGGTATGTTGAATAAACCAAAATAATTGAAAAAATAGCTATAATTGATACATTTCGGTGAAAAAATGATGGTTGAGTATCAGATTCTTGGTTGAATAAAAATTACAAGTTTAATTTGACTTTAAAGAGTAATTTATACTATCTCCGTTTTTTTGTGGGACGGAGGGAGTATTATGTTTGACCGCGTACATTGCTTATTTTCTAACACGTTAAAATTGACAAAGAATGATTGAGAGGGATATGTATGATATGGTTGGATTGAGTGTGTTTGGAAATGGAATAGCATATAGATCTTGTTTTGCTTGTTCTGATGGCCTACTTGCAACGCCACTGGTTGATTCTTTCTTTTTAGTAAAACCAACTTTCCACAATTGATGTTGTATTGGTCTTCTAAAACTCAAGTATCTCCACGAGATTGAAACATGTAGTTGTTCTTGGTATCTCGGATTGGCAACCAATGGCCGATCTTGTTCATTAACAGTGTGATTTCTTCGTATGCAACTTCAAAATTTCCCATTCTCAAAAAAAAAATAAAAATAAAAATAATAAATAAATAACTAAATAAATAATTCATCCCTTCAAGCCTTATCGAATCAAATCACGAAGGTGGCACGAGCTCAAAAACAAGATTTCGGCTGATGTTTCTCAAATAGTTCCTCAAAATTAATTCTCAAAAACGCCGTCAGCCATATGAAAGGGAAACAACTACAGATTTGAAGTCAAGATATACAAAGGAAACTTCAGTGTCAAAACAAAGAGGACGATGGGCAATCGAGCATCACATCATAAGGGCATCAAAATCTAAGGTTCCCTCTTAAGTCTCAACAATTCCATTAGTAACGGAAGATCTCAATGTAACTCTTCAACCAAGTCCGTAATGCTGCACATTTGAGTGTTCGAAAATATACTGATCAATATCAACTTGAGAAATTAGCTCCTAAATAAGGAGTAAAGATATATGGGTATCCAAAATATCTTCTTGAATATAATTTTCACCCTTTTCCTTCAAATGCTCCTCTTTAAAGCTAAATATTGCATCCTATTTCGAACAAGAGCAGAACTGGGACAAAATTCCATCCGGAGCTAAAAGTATCATCTCCTCTAACAACACTATGAACCTTTTGCCAAAGCAGCCTCACGCTCCATACGTAGGCGTTCCCTCTGATACAAAATGATTTAAACAACATAAAGGAGACAAAAATATTAAAACATCTTAATAAAGGATAAGCAAGCAGTTTGTTTAAAAGACAAATAAAAATATTGAAAGATTGCAAATAAGAGTGACTGATCAATCTGAATAAAATCCAAAGAGGTAATTCAACACTGGAAATTATGAGCATTGCATATGTTATAAGTACAGATTCAACTTATGACGAAAATTCACTAAGAATACATTTAAATTTGCACATTCTTATCGTTTCCATCTTGTTTCTATCTAAATTAGTGACCTCTAATCGGCATCTTCCCCTTCTCCCCTTCCATCCCCTTTTTTGCCATCTTAAACCCCGAAGAAAAGTCGAAGTTATGAACCAGAAAATTGACAAGCCCCTCAGTATTTACATCATAAGAAACAGCTAGGCTAAGCTAAAATGACTCTTACAGGAATAGGTAAAAAATCTCAATAAAATCTTTATTAAAAACCCAGATACTGAAGACAGCAAATTTCTAACTAGAGACGATTGGTGCAAAATGTAGCATGTGGGAAAGCTCAGATGCCAAACTTCACATCGTATGATGATACTCGCTAATGTCAACTATCTCTGCTTCTCTAATCAACTTTACCAAGTCCTTTTTCCTACAAACTTCAATTTATATACTTGAAATCTTTCAAATTATAGCTAAAATCTATCAATCAAGACTTAACTTATTTTCTGCAATAGTAATTTACTTAATTCCATCTCTACTACAGATTACAAAAATTTCCTGAAGATGAGGCAATTCAGTAGGTTGCAATGGAAGCACTTCCACAATACACTCCTAAAGAAATCTAACTCAAACAGGCTAGATGAGTTCATTATGGGATGAAACCAACCCTGAATAACCCAACAGCTAGTTCATCTAAACAATCCTGCGATGATTAAATGTAAACATTCTCCCGAAATCCTTTCTTCTACTTCCTATGAATAATAATCAAGTTACTAAATTACAATCTCACTTCTGAAATCTTAAGAATTAATTCCAAGTACGGGTCAAAGCTACAATACTGCAACGATTAAATGTAAACATTCCCCTGAAATCTTCTCTTCCATGTCTTGTGAATAATTATAAAGTTTCTAAATGACAATCTAATTTCTGAAATATTAAGAATTAATTCCAACTACGGGTTAAAGCTACAATACCCTATATCCCAAAATACACGAAAAGGACAAGTTCAATATCACAAAAGTTCATATGTATAAGCCTTACTGGAATTCATACAGTAACGAAAACAAGACACACACCGAATCATCACTTTTCAAACACCAAATGACTTTTCTTACATAGCACAAAATCCACAACCTCAATTAATCCAAAATCCCCTTGTCCTACCATCGAAACAGGATTTCTATAATAGTACAATAATAGAAATGTCGCGAGTGGATTGTGCCCGCAGTGTGGAGCTGTGGGTGTCCAACGCCTAACTTTCCAATGAGTACAATTCATGCAAGAAAAGGAAGCCAAGGAAATTCAATTATTGTCTCATTTTCATTTTTCTTTCCATTCTCCTTCCTCGGCGATTAACTCTTAATCCTTCAACCGAATCAAAATCTTTCTTACAAACTGTTCCCTAACACCCAAGACCCTAAATGACTGGGTTGAAGCAGAAAATATAAGTTAACGTCTCAAGTTGGAGAGGACATCCACTTTGGAAAGGGTTTGAATTTTTGGCTAAATTAGGTTGTGCCTAGAGAACTACACCCATTAACTTACTTTTGAGATGCTATAAATCTTGCAGGAAGGTTAGAAAACACTCTCTAGTTCAACTTATAGGTTGGGGATATGAATGAAGGAACTAATTTCTGGAATCTAGAAATAGATTATTATAGGCAAAATCTTGGAATTTTTGAGCTCGTGCAATGTTTGAGTTATTAAATTGTTAATCAACCTCGAAAACAAACTGTAGGTATTCTAGAAATCTAAAATGAATATAATTGTATAGTATAGAAACCTTGTTCTGAAAGTAGGACAAAGGAATTTTGGATAAATTGAGGTTCTGGATTTCATGCACAGAAGTAAGAAAAGTCTTTTGGTGTTTATCCCTCAAAGATTACTCAGAACCATTTCTCACGAGGGGCAAACATTGTAGAATTAACTGCACAATCTAGGAAAAAAGAAAGGCAGAAGAAGACAAATAGAAAACCGATCAGGAACATGCATTACCCTTCGTTCCCAGTATGGATGGAAGCACACAAAATCATAAACAGGGCTTATTGTAGAGACCAAAACAACATTCAGCCCAGTAAACAGCAACAATCCTGTCATTGGCCGCGTACGGTGGGGCATTTTATCTTTCCTCTAATCAGAACAGCGCCAAAAGACCTTTTCTCACGGAAACTGAAAAGGTTGTCAAACAAGAAATTGGTTATGTGAGTTTTCTGGTCCAAAAATTTGCTGAAAAGGAACTGGGAGATTCCATGACTCTGTTCCACAAGTTTTCTTAAGCGAAAGAATTGCAGGAAATCAAATATCATAACGATGCAACCAACACACACTAAAATCCAATAGAAACACACACGAGTGGCTGAAAAACTACAATTAGGCAGTAAGGTTGACAAATTATCAATCTAAACTCCATAATCCACTAAAATCCTCACCCAATTATTTATGGAAACGCTGCACCAACACCACGGAAAAAGAACAAATGCAAGAATCATATAAACAGTTTACATTTTGCAAAATGTTCTGGTTAGGTTTAAACTTTTAAGGCGAATCTCTCAACATTTTATCTCTATCTGTATCTAAACAATAGATAAAACAACCTGATTTCTACCGGAATCAGTAATTGAACTTGTTAGTTACCTTCAATCTTCTTGGATGCACTCTTCCCCAATGCTTCTTATTGATATAAACTTTTTGTCTACAAGCATCATCCTATTATTACGAAGAGATTGAAGAAATAATTAGGACAACAAAAACCCTGAATTTCAATGAACGAAACAACAGTAAACCAAAATAAAAGGAACTGCACAAGGTGCGGCTCAAAGGGTATCATTATCCCAAATTCAAACAAGCACAAACTCATTCTTTCTCTAACATGTTAATGTTATTATTATTCTAACGAAGATGTATACAAAGAAGCAGAAACTTGTATTAGCATACATTGTTGCATCAACAAGCCTACAAGTCAAATATCAGGAAACCATTCAAATAACTAACTTTTGATACCCTTTCAAATAATGCATATTCAGCAGTAGCTTTTGGAAGATAGGAAAATAAGTAGCAGCTCAACTTCTTCCTCAGAGCTTCATTTAAGTAACCAGAGAGCTGCTTTTGGACAAAAATAAATCTCCCAAATTAGGACAGAATGAAAAGGTGTGCCTTCCTGCACCGAGATGTACTTAAAGCGATAGCAAAGAATATTTTATATTAGAATTGGAGTTGCACAAAAAGGTATGCCATAGCAAGACTCAGTAATAAGCTCTCCCAATGGTTTAGTGATAAAAATCTTGGAGAGGACAGAAGCTTAACCCGTGCAAAACCAGCACCACGGAAGTAGAAACCTTATGGATTTTTTCATGAGAACTCATTTAGGCATAAAAGCATACACCTAAAACACAAACGAAACAGGCGTACTCTATGATGTAATTGCACCCAGATTACCCTTTAGCCTGTACTTCATTTTTAACAAACTTGCTGTTCAATCGTCTCAGAGTTGAGCTAAGACAACTTGTAATTTTCAACTTCCACCCACAATTCAAGCTCATGTATCCATGGAATTAAAAGCTGTAAAACGTTTTGTACCTTCAACCTGGACCTCAGAACCTTCACTTCCTTGCTCCCTTTTCTGAGACTAAGGGTAGATTTAGAAAACAATGGTATAGAAAAGTGGTGAAATTAAGAAATGTGGGAGGAAAAGAAGTGGAATCAACACTCGGTAGCCCCTTCCTGGAAACGGCGAAAGAAACAGGCAAAGAGAAGAAATGAGATTGGCAATGGAATGGTGACGAGAAAGAATGAATTGGGAGGAAAAAGATCAAAATGCTGCAGGTCTAATCGCCGGGAACCCCGAAGAAATGCAGCCAAAAATCTGAATTCCCACTTAGTATATACTAGGCATGGTGAACCACAAGAGATGTGGTCTAGTAGTATTGGTGTGTACCCAACTAAAATTAAAATAAGCTTCGGACGACTATTGACAATGATTTTAGAGCATCTTGAATGAGTGAGTTGGTCTATGCTTTTCTTCATTTTCAGGCATTTCAAGAACTTGCCCCAATGCCAAATTGCCAAACCTAGTACTTAGCTTCACTACTTTATACTCAATATAATGTGCAGTATGCACCCGAGTCAAGCATATCTAAACAAAGTAAATTCAATGACAAAAGGAAAAGCCATACACGTATGATTGAAAAAACCTTCTCATATCTCTTTAAAGTACTGTCATATTTTCCAGTCTTGAATAGGTCTAACTCGATCACTTGTTTAGACAAGCAGCTTCAATCTTTTATTTGGTGTTCATATCCCAGAGGCAGGATTTCTTTTTGTGGACGCATTTTGTGAAATGTAAGAAACAGCCTAATGCCTAATGGACACTACTCATATTAACAGGATGCTTAATGTTTTAATTCTCTCACTTTGAAAAAAGACACCAGCTTCACGTAGTATTACACAGGGGAATCAAGAGGAACAACAACCAAACACTCTCATCTTTTACTCCATGCACTTCCATAACAATAAACCATCCATTCACTTCAACTTCACTGGTCGGTTAAGAGTGAAAATTTCGGACATTTTCTGTTGGCTCATATGGTTGCAAAGGTAGTAAGGATAACAAACTTGTCACGTCACATAAATGATTCAATCAATTTTGTCTTATCTACAAAATCCACGTCCCCTTAAGAGGCATCACAAGCCTCAACAATGGTAATCAGTCATCGAGCAGATATCTAAAATTCCAAAGCCACAAGGATTCATACAAATATAAGAACAAACATATAACTCCCTCTGTCCCAAAATTATTGTCCAATTTGAGATTTTATTTTTAGTACAATTTGAACTAGAGGTGAAAACTCAAACTGGACAATAATTATGGGACGGAGGGAATAATACAAATGGAGAGTGGAGCGACAAGAGAACCCATTCAGGCATAAAATCATACACCTAGCACGCGAACAAAACATGCATGCTCTAAAAAAAAAGACCGCAAGCAGCCGTAATCCTTTCTTCCATTTTATCGACTAACTTATGCCCCAGTTCAATCATCTGATAGAATTTAGCTAAACCAATTTTTAATTTTCAACTTCCCATCAAAATTTAAGCACAAACTGTGTAATACCTTCAACCTGTACTTCAAATCTTCACTCCCTTTTTTCTGATTCTGCAAGTAAATTTGGAGCAGTGGATTTTGTTTTCGAATGTTCTCCTCAGCAAACAAACAATGATTATGCGGCGAATGATTAAAGAAAAGCAAGAAGAAGAGAGGAAAAAGAGGTCGCAGAGGGATGAGGGAAATCAACCCTTACGATACACAATATTAATCTTGCAGGAACCGGCGGGAAGAGTCGAAAGTTACCCGGGCTGGAAACTTACGCCGGTCAACTCACGCAGTTAAAAGGACTCAAAAGGTGACTGTTTCACCTAGAAGAAAAGGAGCCATATTTGAAGAGGTCCAAGAAACTTTGGTAGTACAATTTTTGAAGCATAAACTTTCATGAATATAATTTATAATACGTATTAATTAGTAAAACTGTTGTGAGCTGTCTAAATATTGAACTCTTATATTTCTTTTGTTCATATAATAAAGGGGACCAAAGCCCGTTTGTTGGCTTGTTACCTTGAAGACCTAGAAATTAATTTTTACAAGCTCTTGATCTTGGCAATAATCAATTTTCTGGCACATTATACGGTATGGTCTATACGCAAATGGATTAATGAAGAGCTACTACAAATAAGACAACTTAGGCTTCAACCGAATACCTTGCCGTCATCATTGAAGAAGTTGAAAGATTTTATATTATCTTGATCTCGGCCTTTTAACCACTTGGGCAGCTATCAATTCCCAAGTTAACATATTTAAATAAATGGGTTCAACGAACGAATTAGTAATTAAAAGGCAAGTTCTTCCCGAGCTTTGTAGTTCCCCGCTGTGGATATGCACCCGTTCTCTCTATTTGGGATCTAGATAGGGCATTAATTATAGCATGATGTTGTCGGCATATTAATCTGGTTTATTATTTAGTTTAAAGGTAATAACCAAAAAAAAAGAAAACTACAGAATATTTCTCGGGTTCTCCCAAATCCTATTCAGAACTGGAATAGGAAGAGTCAGTTTCCTATTTTGATATCTAAAAGGGTGGAAATTCAATCTCTATAAATAGAGAGATTAGTAGTGCGAGGATTTTCCAACCAAGGCTTAGTGTTCTGACGATCAACAACATGGAACAAGAAGCTGTCGAATTCATCCGTGATGTCGAAAAGGTCTTCTTACCCGACAATGATCTCGATGAAAGATACGCACGATTCATCTCCGGTCTCAACATGCTTCGAGATCAACAACGTCACTCTGCCGAAAAACTAATCGACATGCTGACTCTATTATTAGAAGACCATCAAAATCTACTCTCACGGTTCAAGAGATTTCTCCCTCAAACCCTAAACCCGGAACTTCGTCCCAATCACGATTCCGGTTATAACCAGCAACAAGATCCACAAGCGGAAGAAAAATGCAGGGAGTTTTTTAATAAAATCAAGGAGCGATTCGCGGATAACGCGAGAGTTTACGAGGATTTATTGGATATACTGGCCTCGTACCATTCTAACCAAGAATCGACGACGGTAAGCGAAGCTTATAAGAAGATTTGCCGTTTATTCCACGGCCACATTGACCTAGTTCATCAGTTCGAGTCGTTCTTGAACCAAAACACCGATCAAATAGACCGATGGATTGTCGACACACTTAGGTCTTCGGCCAAAGCACATTGGTTGAAGAAGTTTGATATGTTGTTGGGAGATTTAAGATATTCGATCGAAACGATAAAGTTCTGGCCGGAAGGGTTGACGGAAGTTCAGATGAGATGCATTGAGGAATTGTATTTTGCTGAGCACAAGGGCGATGAGAGACTGAAGATGGAGTTGAGACAAGATTTGGTGAAGAGAATACAGGTGGATCCGAGAGGGGTTTCTAATGTTGTTTTACCTCGTTTGGTGCAAAAAGAGAAAGATCTTGTTAAAGATCGGGCTGAAGTTGAGGTTTTCTTTGATAAAATCTTAGCTCATCCAGTTCCGCTCCCGGCCACTTTAAATTTCACATTGGCAGGAATTGCCCAGTCAGTTTAACGATTCCCCCTTTAGTTTTCAGCGTGGATTTATAAATTGATGGTAAACTATTATCAATTTTTGTGGAAACAGGTTCTAATATTAGTATTAATTTTCTAGTGTATAGTAGTATTAAGATTTTAATGTATCTCTTAAAAGTCCACGATCAAATCTCATCAGGAGTAGAGGTTTTTCAACTCACGTTCTTTTACCGACTAAAATTACTCGTTGTGGCCAATGCCAATTAATTGAAGTTAGATTGGCAAATACGAGAGAATATTGAATTGTATTACAGAAAGTACACTGTATGGTATCTGGTAAGAAAATTAAGTTAAAAAGTACACAATAAACTATGTTTGTATTACACAAACCTATAATGAAATGATTTAATTGGTGATGTTACGTAAAAATTAACTGGGCAAAGTTGCTCCTTGTTTAATTATGACGGTTTTGATGACTGGTACCACAACTCATATATACATTTTGTGTCATAGAACTGTTACTTATGCACATGCAAGGTCTTATCTATGTATTGCATCAGAGTAACACGCGCCAATGTGGGAGAGCAGTAACTCATAAGTATTCTCCCAATCAATGTTATTAGTTTTCTCCCGATCAATTGATGCCAGACATTAAGTTAAGGTTTTGACACGCCAAACTAAGGTTGTACTCGGCATAATACATCAACGTTCGCATAAGAAAGGGCGTCCTGTTGGTTGGGCTTATCGGCATAAAAAATTCAAATTGGAGAATACTTTTAGGACGGAGATTATACAATTTAACAAGTTGGTTTGATATATATGCTGATTCATGATAACATTTGCATGTATGCGTTTTCCTTATGAGTAATGATTCTCCACTCTACAAATTCATCTCAACTCTTAACTCTACTGACCTGTTTATCTTTGATGGCAACTCCACATCAGCAATTATTTTTATTAGAAATAATATTCCAAAAATAATTTTAAAAATTACTTCACATCAGACCCTCATCGTTAGTGACTTTATCTTCGGCTAATACCATGCTTCTGATTCCTTTTGTTCGTCTTCTTCAACCTATCTCGCATGCATCAGACTCAGACTTACTTCCGACTCCATTTGCCGATAGAAATTAAGTGTTGTTTGGATTCGAGAAAAAGGGGTTGAGTTTTTTTTTTGGATTAAAACATACAGCAGAACTTCAACAATTCTGCCCCAATTCTGACCGTGTCAATGTCATTGAACACCAATAATCTATCGTTTAGAGTTCACATCAAACTGTGTTTGGCATCTCTCTTTATTTCAGAATTACAAAATCTAATCGTGAAAAATTTTTCTTGTTTTGAATTGTGTAACAAAAATATTGTTTCATTAATCCTTTGGAAGACGTACAAATTGGTAACGCCGCAAATGACCTAGGGCAGCAGAAATTGGTTGATGTTGCTAACTGGGCAGCCACGGCCAATTCATGGAAGTCAGGGGAAGCATATAGGGAACTCAGATGGCTTCCTAAAATTAACTCAATCACTTCTCCAAACTCGAATCAATTAACTCAATCTCTTCTCCAAACTTGAATCAATTGGAATAAGTTCTGGATCGGTGAGTATATCGTGGATTGCGGAATGCTGTGATAATATTGCAGGTTACGAAACCTTTATGGATTGGAAAGTTTCGATCGACATTGCTGATAGAGAAGAGAAGGCTATACATATTCTAATTGATTTATTTTTGGTTAATTTGAAAAAGAGAGAAGAAAAGAAGAGAAGGGCTGCTGAAGTGGAATTACCAACGAGGATGACATGTCAGTAGAGTTGAGAGTAGAGAAGAATTTGTCGAGTGAAATATAAAAAAAAATCTATATTGAATTCTTAAATTTTTATTCAAACTAATACAAATCTTAAAAGTCAAAGTTGACTATTTTTTGGGACAGATGAAATATAAATTTATAGATGACACTATTGAATAGATTTTACATAAAAACAATATAAACATCACAAATTGGTATAACTGATTGCTTCAATTTTTTTTTTTTTTTTTGGTTAATTTTGTAATCAAAAGGAGGCTAAAAAGTCCAGTACGAAATTACTTTCTCGGTCCCATTTTGATGGTGTTGTTAATTTGTTGTGCAGTTTGTGTTCAGAAAAATAGATTTCTAAAATGAAGGAACTATTTTGGCAAAAAAAAAAAAAAGAGGATAAAGATGGGTTTATCGTCGTAGAACCAATCAAACAGTCATCATCTTCCAGGGAGATGATATTTATGTTGTAAAGAGTAGAATCGCTACTTGTCATATTCACATTTTGAATAAAAAATTGTTGCCATCTTTCTAAGTCAAAGTCTCCCTGCAATGCCACATTAAACACTCCAAAGACTTGAAACTTTTCCACAAAACAAATTGACAAATCAATGAAAAGCCAAGCATGCACTTGGTTATATATCATTTAAGAATCAATGAAGAAAATGAACATCCCTCATCAAAAGCCCTTAATTTCTTTTATTCCTGAAACGGTAGTAAAGAAAACCACTTAATTATGGGAAGCTTGCATATCCATGCTATCCTGCTCATCATCCGCTGCATTTTCTTTATTAGCTTTAAGCAGTTTCAACCTGTATATAGCCATGATATTGATGTTGCTGTTAATTCAAGCGTTCCAGGCTGTATTACTAGTGAAAGACGAGCTCTGATGCAATTCAAAGCAAGTCTTGTTGATAGTGCAAATCGCTTGTCGTCATGGACTGGTGCGGATTGTTGTGCTTGGGATGGAATAACTTGCAACGATCTCACCGGTCATGTCGAAAAACTTGATCTTCGTAACCCCATCCAACCTAAACCACCTAATTATTTTGATCCATATTCCTTAAATAACAACTTTAATCTCACATCCAACCTAAACTACACCAAAAATTGTTTGGGTGGTAACATCAATCCTTCTCTTCAGGATCTCGGACACCTCTTTCATCTAGATCTCAGCTGTAATAATTTTTGGAGAATTCGAATCCCCAAATTTTTAGGATCTTTGAGAAATTTGAGATACCTCAACCTCTCCGATGCAGGATTTGAAGGAGAGGTTCCTCCTCATCTCGGAAATCTCTCTAAACTACAACATCTAGATATCGGTCAATCGAGTTTCGGACTGACTCATAACTCCCTAAGCTCCAAGAATATAGAATGGGTTGCAGGATTTAGTTCCATGAAAAGTTTGGACCTCTCTGGAGTTAACTTGAGTGAATGTGTTGATTGGATGGATTCAGTTAACATGCTTCCTTCATTGTCATCCTTAACATTAAGGAACTGTACGTTACGATCTGCAGGTAAACTTCAGTCTCCTCTTGTTCCTTTCCATTTTAATCTCACATCTCTTACTTCGCTCGACGTCGGGCTGAATACTCTTCATTATTCTTCCTCACTTTTCACGTTCTTCAATCATCTTGCCGATAAGCTTCAAGTCCTCAAACTTGGTTCCAATAACTTCGAAGGCCCGATTCCTTTCTTATTACGAAAATTCAGATCATTAACGGTCCTTGACCTTTCTGGGAACGCTTTTGATTCTTCAATCCTGTTAAATTTGCTGTGTAATCATACTTGTCTTGGCTTTGTGGATCTAAGTTTCAACAAACTTGAAGGATCACTTCCTGTTTGCCTTGGGAACTTGACTTCTCTTAAAGTATTAAATCTGAGATCCAACAAATTTGGAGGAAAGATACCCAGTGAGTTGGGTCATCTCAAACAACTCACTCATCTCGACTTGTCTGATAATTCTTTCAACTCTTCCATTCCCTCAAGTTTTGGAGGACTTACGGAGCTAGAATCATTAGCTCTTGCGTCTAATCAGTGGTATGGTACAATACCGGAATGGATTGGTGAGCTATCACAATTACGGGAGCTTTATTTGTTCTCGAACAATTTCCACGGCATGCTTCCTTCATCCTTAAAGAACGTGAAAAATCTAACATTTCTTTATCTCAGTGATAATCAATTCAATGGCACCATACCGGAATGGATCGGCGAAGAGTTATCACAACTACGGGAGCTTGCTTTGGACTTGAACAATTTCCACGGCATGCTTCCTTCATCCTTAAAGAACGTGAAAAATCTAGCATCTCTTTCTCTCAGTGATAACCAATTCAATGGCACCATACCGGAATGGATCGGCGAAGAGTTATCACAAGTACGGGAGCTTACTTTGGACTCGAACAATTTCCACGGCATGCTTCCTTCATCCTTAAAGAACGTGAAAAATCTAGCATTTCTTTCTCTCAGTGATAACCAATTCAATGGCACCATACCGGAATGGATCGGCGAAGAGTTATCACAATTACAAATTCTTCACCTTGGGTCAAATAATTTCTCTGGCGTGATCCCTTCATCCATGAAGAAGTTGGGACAGTTACAGCTACTTAATCTTAGTGAGAATCACTTTACGGGCTCCTTAACAGAATGGATTGGGGGAGAGTTATCAGCTTTAAATGAGCTCTATCTGCAATCAAACAACTTCTCTGGTAATATTCCCATTCAACTCTGCCAGTTGCCAAACCTTTCGAGATTAAAATTGGCAAATAACAATTTCACCGGACACATTCCAGATTGCTTTGGTCTTTAGAATGTATTGGGACCATACAGAACTAGCACTCCGTTTTTTTTTTTTTTTGTTTTTTCCCCCGTTTTTCGATGGAACATAATAAAAAACTTAGGCTTTGTTTTAGCACAGTAAACTTTGCACACTTTTTTCTTTTTTTTTTTTTTTTCTTTTTGGCGTGTTAGTAAAATTATCACGACGTGTGAGGCATTTTTTGTATGACAAACTTCTACCATGGCCTGTAGCTTGCGGCACTATTTCCGCCAAGTCGAAAATTAAAATTTTTTCAATTATTCCCTAAATACTTCTCAAAATTTTATCCTTTCATTCTCTCTCTCTCTCTCTCTCTCTCTCTCTCTCTCTCTCTCTCTCTCTCTCTCTCTCTCTCTCTCTCTCTCTCTCTCTCTCTCTCTCTAAAAAGAAATCAATAGTGATGGTTCCCCACTAATCCGGACGTGAGTTAAACCCATGATCTATTAGAAATAGAGAAGTCATCTTACCGACTAAACTAAATTAGTGAATTATTAAAAATAAAATAGACATCTTACCAACTAGACAGAACCCATTCATTTTATACACAGCGTTTCAGATAAAGTGCCATCCGTTCTTTTTAATATTTGTTATGATTAGTATATACTAACTATACCAAATAAGGTGGTTTTTATATGAATTTTATTAACTTTTTATTCCATGAAATAGAGGGCGATCTCTTCTTCTACGACATTATTATAATGCAAGCATTTTAGTGTTTCTTTTGAATTCAGTTCATAGTGATTAATCATGATATAAGTATGGTTTCCGGCATTACTGATGTACTAATACATCAAAATAATGCCGACATCATCATCAGAACACATCAAATTTTTCTCTAACGTAGCAGCGTTTTAAGTCTTTGACTTTCACCAAAGGATACATATCTTTATGGCATTCTGGCCATCGTTCGACTATACGTGGGGGGAACAAATTACTAATGTAATATAAGTAACTAGTTTGTATATTGATATTGTAACACGTGCTATGATTCACATTTGTAATATTTAGTATCTTTGTATAAAGTTGATTCGGATTTGTAATATTTAGTATCTTTGTTATAAAATTTTATACTAAACTATCAATGAAACTCTTGAATAGAATGCCGTATAAATAAGAAATTATCAATAATTCTTTTTTAAAAAAAATCTAATGAACATAAATCTTTTTTATATCGACATTATCTATGGTGTTGATTACCTAAGAAATTAATTAACCAAGATGTTCGCAACAGAGAAAAAAAAAAGAAGATCCATCAATTAATTGATTTCAACAAAAATTTCATGTTTTCTTTTATTTTCATGGACTATGATCACGTAAATGTCACGTTTATATTTTGAATAATTGAGATTTCATGAATAATATACTCCCTCCGTCCCATAATTATTGTCCACTTTGTCAAAAAAATTTTGTCCCAAAATTATTGTCCAATTTGACTTTTTATGGATCAAGTTACACATTTATCCTTAGTAAAAAACATTATCCATAAAATCTTAGTGGTTGAACAATTACTTATGTAGGGGTATATCCGGTTATTTAAGGTAAAATGTAGTTAAGTTTGACCAAAAATAAAATCTTTCATTTTAGTAAAACTGGACAATAATTATGGGACGGAGGGAGTACTTGCTTTCCAAAGACACTGATTGTCTAGGAAGACTTGAAAAAATCACGTACGCCATGGATGCTCATAATTAATTAGCCAGCTTACCTGGAATAGCACTTGTAAACCATTATCAAGAAGTTTTGAGTTTAATTCGTTCTTTTTGTTTTCTTAATTTGAATAGTTGAAAGGGTATACAATTTTTTCCTTTTCTGTCCTCATTGTCTTGTATTTGCCTAGAAATATCTGGTAAGACTTCGTACATTGTCTTGAACTTGGAACCCACCAGGGCCAGGCAAGACGTGGTCCACATTAGTTAATTTACGATGAATTATATATATAATCGGTTTATTCATATGCAATCTTTGAAAAGATAATGATAAAACTCATGTTCTACATCGGTATAGAGATTGATTGTATCTTTATATAATTTACATGATCTAATGCCCTATTATCATTTTTTTTTGAGATGGAATCACACACTTTATTATTATCTTCAATAGCTTATAAATGGAAAATTTTTCAGTGTGTTTTATATCAATCAATATATTAACAACTGATAACTTCTATGATAACTTCTATTAACAATTTTAGTTGTAAGGAGCGGGGGCACTTGATTGTCACATTTACTTTTTTAATATTTAATCGTTGTTACCTTCCAAAGTATCAATACCATGCATGCTACAGAAAACAGTCCAAAGTCATTACGTTTTTCACAACAAATTAAAGACTTTGAAAAATCAATGTACATTGTCCCTGAGTACGTCGGAGAACTTTTGAGGTTTTTAGTTATATATAAGTTGCAAGACACAACGTAGAAGATCATCATCAACATCAAAAGCTTTGTCTTCTATTCATGAAGTAGCTAGTTGTATAAACAGCACTATATTATGGGGAGCTCGCATATCAATGCTATCCTCCTTATCATGTTGTTCTTTTCTTAGTCATTTTCAGGCATCTTAGATTTGTTTACAGTCATGATATTAGTGCCCCTTATATTTAAGGGGTGCAGGTTGTATTGATGCTGAAAGACAAGCTCCCATGGAATGGAAAGGAAGTTTTGTTGATGGTGCAGATCTCTCGTCATCATGGACTGGTCAGATTTTAGACATTTTTTTTTTTATATTGCAGGGTATCTTCCATCGACAACAGTGATTAATTTTCCTCGCACATGGGTGGGAAAGATGGCCAAAGAATTTAAGGTTGCTTCATGCTCATGACAAAGTTCGAACCATCGACCTATAGTTAAACGTGGAGGAGTCCTCAGCACGTCTTAGACATTTGGACATTGGAAACAACTTATGGATAGGCGAGTTGTCCGAATTGCATTTTGCGGAACTCAAAAATTTAGGAGGTGCCTGGTTAGGGTTTGATTCTTTGGAATTGGATTCAAAGAATAAAGATGGCTTTCATAGAATGAAAATGGCAAGGGTTTGGAAAATTTTATTTAAGCTGCTTGGTTTGTATGTTTTTTTTTTGAAGAGTACCTGTTATATTAAAAACTTAATCCTATACTATTACATTTTGCTAAATTATATGCTATATTATGCATCTCTAAGACCTTATCCCTCGGGACTTTCGTAATGTGATGAGAAATAAAACAACGTAGTAACCTAGTAATTCGTTCTAATAATTCCTGGACTTCTACCGGTGCCGAAGTCGGATTTAGGGAATTTGAAAGAAACTCACAATCTGTGGACACATGGATGTGTTGAATACCCAGTTTGGTGGCTTCTTCCATGGCCAACAACAACGTCATGGCTTCCGCTTGGAGAGGAGAGAGTGCCATGAACTTGCAGGATTTGATTTGGACAATCATCCCATGATTATTTGTGATCTTACAGGCCCCTGTAGCTTCCTTAGTGCTAGGAATAAAGGATCCATCCATTAATATGTCATACTGTTGTGCTCCTGTTTGTGCATTGTCCATGTCCATGATCTCTTCTGACTGCAGACCTGCATTCCTGACATTCGGCCTTAGTTTCTTAGTGAGACTTTTATGGAGACCAAAGTCTTGTTTAACCTGGTTCCAGATATAGAAAACATCTCCTCTCTGGTTTCGCCATACTTGGTTATTTCTATTTATGCAGATTGCCCATCGAATAAAGACGGACAACTCAATTGAGTCTTCCTCTGGTGCATTGCGCAACCATTCCAGGAACCAGTCTTTGAAACTTCTTCTTACTCCATTGTCAAAGTTGAAACCTAAGTTAGAGATCCTCCAGAGTCTTTTGGATCCCTCGCATTACAGAAAGAGATGTGAAATTGTTTCCGGCTCCTCTTGACAGTTTGGACATTGGACCTCCTCTAGGATGCCTCGCTTGTGGAGACCTTCTTTTGTAGGAAGTGCATCATAGATTCCCCTCCAAATCAGTAGCTTCATCTTTGGGGGAACACTACTCTTCCATAATCTTTTCCAGGCCCTTTTTTCATATTCAACAGCATGTACATCCAGTGGGTGATTTTTATTGTAAGCAATCTTATAGTCTGATTTCACAGTATATTCTCCATGCTCCGTTTCCTTCCAAATCAATCTATCCTCTTGGATGCTCAGTTGCGGATCATTGAATAGGCCCTGTATATATGGAATGACTTGAGGGGGGAAAATCTTTCTTATCAGGGCCATCCTCCATGAACCATTGGGGTTGATCAAATGTTTGACCTACAGATCAGAATTAGTTGCCAGGATCGAATCTTCAGCAATTGGATTATCCTGCTGTGAGATCCAATTATCACTGATTTTGATGTTATTCCCTGAAACAACTTTCCACTTAATGTTGCCTTTGAGTAATTGATATCCCCATAGAATACTTCTATATCCCCAGACATGTTAGTTAAAGATGCCAGGCCTGAAAAATATCCCCCTTTGTGATATTTTCCCCGAAAAAATCTGGAGATCAAGGATGAAGGAGATGAGATAATTTTCTAGGCGTGTTTTGCCAGAAGTGCTTGATTAAATTCTTGTGTTGACTTTAGGCCTAGTCCTCCATGAAGGGTCGATCTGCAAATTTTGGACAACGATCTCCAGTGGATGCCTTTGTTTTCATCGTCCCCATCCAAATGAACTTCCCAATGATCTGATTAGCCTTCTGTAAGGTCCCTTTTGGAAGTTTAAAAACTCCCATAGGGTAAACCATCATGGATGATAATGTGGACTTTGCTAAAGTGACTCTTCCAGCCATAGTGAGAAGTTTTGTTTTCCAGTCCCCAAATTTACTACTGAGTTTTTTCGTGAATTTCTCAAAGATCACTTGCTCCGAAAGTTCATAGAGGAAATTCCTAGAGTTTGACATAACAAGTCTTGCTGCGATTGTGAAGAATTGGCACTCAGTAATATTGAAGACTTTGCATGATTCATCTTCTGTCCTGATAGTCTTGCATATTATTTGATGAGATTGGCCAGTGCCTTGATGGAAGATTCCTTGCATTCCAGAAAGAAAAAGCTGTCATCTGCATACATAAGATGACTTATTCTAGGGGTTGAGGTACTTATCTTGATCCCTAGTCCCGGTAGACATCTAAGCTCCGATCTGATAGCAGAAGACAATGCTTGGTGGCAGAGGATAAATAGATATGGTGACAGGGGGCATCCCTGCTTAAGACCCCTGTTTGGGGTGAAGAACTCTGATTGCTCTCCATTAAAGAGGATGGAATATGAAACTGAGGAAACACACTGATATATAAGGTTTACCAGAGGGGAGTGGAAAACGCAGTTTGAGTAGTACGGCTTTGAGAAAGCTCCATGACACTCTGTCATAGGCTTTACTCATGTTCACTTTAACTGTTGAGACCCCAATTTGTCCCTTCCTTTTTTTGATATATTCCACGATTTCATGAGCTATCAAGATGTTCGCAGTAATATATTCCACGCTTGGTTTCTATGTATGATAGAATTGGAATAGAGTCAAAATTCTACTTTTACCCTTAACTCAAACAAGAATTCTATCTCTTCTGTTCATGCTCTTCACCAAGATCATTCTTCTACCAATCTTTCATCATTTTTATCATCCTCGCAACACATCAACCACATCTTAGATTAAAAATTAACCAAATCATTGAACATACCAACAGTAAGACAAAATCCAAATCATAAATCTAAATCACGATGAGATTTTAATTGCAAAATTCCAAAAGCAAGTAGCTATTACAGCGACAGCAACACGAGGAGGTGGCCAATGATGACACAGAGAGGTTGTGCTAAACTCTTCAATAGTTCAATTGCGTTTTGGGTTTGTTAAATTCAGAAAATCTGAAATGGGTTTTGTGAAATTGACATGATCAAACACTCGAATTGCATCTTGGGTTTGTTAATTTGAGAAATTTTGAAATGGTTTTGTTGAATTTGTCGAGATTGGAAATGATAAATTGCAGGAGTGTGGGAGAGACGAGAGAGCCGTGAATTTGAGATTTCGCATAGTGACGAGGGGAAGTGAAAATGGTGGCTGGTAGGTGAGTGAGAAAAAAGAAGGGGTAGCGAAAGTAATTTTTCTTGGAGGGTTCATATCCTCCAAAAACTTCCAAAAAGGTGAAGAATGGTTTTTTGGAATTCAATCTCAATTATGTGGGACCTTCGCATTCCCATTCTTTAAACCAAGCAACACAAATCAAGAAATTGGCAATGAATCTCATATTTTGGGTATGAAACCACCCAACCAAGCACCTCCTTTGATGTTTTGTCAGTCTCATATAACAAGTTTTTGACGCTTAATGTTAGCAATCACTGGATCCCTCCATTCAGTAGCGGAGATAAGGTTGGGGAACTAGGGGCACGTGCCCCCACTGGATTTGTTCCACCATTGTTATATATATAATATTCATTTTTATATTTTATTATAATAATCTTTTTATGTAAAAATTGAGGGAAAAAGATCTAATGTAATGCCCTACTTAATAATAAACAGGCCCACCAAAACTGCGCAACATGTTTTTTAATTTTGGGCTACAAATTGTTTTTAAAAAATACATTACATGATTTTTTAATTATAATTTGGTCGTATTTCAGATTAAAAATGCCGACGTTTATTTATCTCATTATTGTGCAAAATTTTAGATCAAAACTTCTCCCTTACATATGTTCTTGTTATATTTCTTTAAAATTGTTTACATGAATAGATACACACACATACGACTAATGATTATTACAAAAAAAATTTACAAATATATATATATATATATATATATATATAAAAGAAATTATAACCATCCATAATTAAATCTTACTTTTACGGATTTATCCATTTAATGGTTAGAGAATAGTTAAGATTGAATAAAATCATTCTCAGCAAAGTTTTCCTATATGTGTCGCTACTATAAGAACACATTATTTTTCAAATATTATTTATTTTATTTTAAAAAAGAACTTATATTATTTGTATTAATGTGCCCCCAGTGAATTTTTTTTTCTAGCTCCGCCACTGCCTTCATTCCAACCTAGGTCCATATATATGAGTTCCGTTCACTTGGGAAATCAATTTCCCTCATGGCTTCAAACCCAAAAGAATATTCCACGGTTAGACATGACAAATGTCGTTATCTCAGATCTTATTTCCAGACTGGTTTGGGACTAATTTAGTTAGAGTTGGGCTTTCGAATATGCCAGGAAATAACATCCGCGGTATACATGGTGCCATCATCACTGAAGATAATTGAAATCTATATAGTCAATTGATCGAGATCTCAGCGAGAATCAACTCACTGGCACTTTACTGGAATGGATCAACGAAGAGCAAAATCTTCAATCCAACAAATTTTGTGGTAGTATTCCTACACAATTGGGTCAATCAACGTACCTTCAAAGACTACGTTTGGCAAATAACAGTTTAACTAGACATGTTCTGTTTTGTGTGATAGTGTCTCACGACTGTACAAAACAATGTGCTTTGGAATTAAGATCATCAAATGCAGCTTCCCACATGCATTTCTGGTAACTTTATTTATAGAATTTCCTCAAATATTCCACCTGTCTATTTTTTAGACAACCTTGCAATGAATTTATTAGAGTTAACAAACTGATTAATAAAATGTATCCAATTTGTGTTATGATTTAAAATTATATGAATGTTACTCAACTTACAAGTTACAACTAAACGACATGTGTTATCCTTTTTGTTGAATACCTTGATACCTGAGTTATTTACAAAAATATTTTTATAACATGCACCCTTTTTTATCTTATTAATATCAGCATATAATGAAATGATCTGCAAAAAAATGAGCGTAAATGCTACAAAAATGAGGTAGAAGACAAGCCTTCGGCCTCAAATTTGTTAAGATTAAAAAACTCATCCACAGACCACAAGATTAGTAACAACGTGGAAGAGGGAAATGCATTGTCAAAATGAATTACGCTGGAAAACCAACAAAGAAGGCAGGGGGAAAATTAAATTAAAAAAATTAAATGACTAAAGAAGAAAACATCTTTACATATTGGGGCTTACAAGCAAGTTAATGGTGCTAATTCAGTGGTGTTGGCTCTAGCTACTCAGTAAGCAAGGAATAAGAAATCTCAATCAATGGTAAGTATGTACTACAATAACCGATCTCATAAATAATCCTTTTGTATTGTTTATTCTATTTTTATTTCGCTACATTTTTGCGACAAGTACGTCTCTGTGTTCGATCCTCCAACGATAAACCTATTCCTTCCATATTCTTTTAACTGTCTATTTTATTTAATTTTCATAACTGAACCGTTGTTAACGACTGAAAAAGTAAGTCAGAATTAAAGTCTAAATTATTATTAAACTATATCCCAACGACTAGAAAAGAATAACAATGTTTTCACCCAATATTCGGTCAAGCAAATGTAGCCGTAAAATGACAATCAACTCCAGCTCTACTTCATAAGGAATTCCCTTTAAAGAATTTTTGTTCAAAGTCCATTTTTCCACCCTATGAAGTCCACCCACAGATGTGATTTAAAGGCACTTTTCCACTCAAACACGGCTGAGCAGTATGAACTGTTTAATGTGTAAGTAAATGATATGCTTCAAGCTTCATTCAACTTGTTACCGAATTTTTTGTCATATAGGTTAAGAAAATGACAGTACACTACCAAGCTATCAATCACACACGGAGTAGTTATCTTATTTTAGTTGTAAGGACTACCATCAATTCACTGTCTTTTTCACTTTTAAATTTTCATATTCCAGCTGAAAAAAAAGTTTCTCTACATTAATTGCCTAATAAAACAATAATCCAAAGACTTAGAATTTATATTCATCGTTGACTTTGAAATGTCAGCGTAAGCCATGCAAGCACTAAATTATACTCCCTCCATTTTGAAATATATGTCGTTTTAAGATTTGATAAATTTTTTTAAATATATATCGTTTTCAGAAATCGAGGCATATTTGACCACTTTTTACCAATATTACCCTTGCATTGGAAATGAAACTGTATTTATAATGAATTTCTATTCGTTTGTGATGAATTGTGTAGACAATAAATAAGGACATTTTTTGTATTTTAATTACATTAATTAATGTATTTTTGGTTTTGATGATTTGTCTAGAAAGACATATAAAAAAAAACGGAGGGAGTATATTGAAAGCCTGGTCTGGAATTCTTGAACCAATAGTAGAAAAAAGCAGTTAATTATGGGGAGCTCAAATATTGATGCTATCCTACTCATCATCGGGTGTATGTTCTTAGTTATCTTCAATCGGTTTGAATGTGTATGCAGCCATGATCTTAATGTTGCTGATAACTCAAAAAGTGCAGGCTGCATTGACAGTGAACGACTAGCTCTTATGGAACTCAAAGGAAGCCTTGTTGATCCTCCGAATCGATTGTCATCATGGACTGGGAAGGATTGCTGCAATTGGAAGGGAATCGCTTGCGATAATCACACGGGTCACGTCGTGACGCTTGATCTCGGTAACCACATCAATCCTTATTCCCCAGTCCCCTTTTCTGACACTTTTTTTGATTTTATGGACAACATGTTATGGGGTAAGATCAGTACTCCTTCTATATGTGATTTGGAAGATTTGAACTATCTTGATCTAAGCTCCAATAATTTTGCCGGAACTCAAATCCCGAAATGCTTTGGATCTTTGAGAAATTTGAGGTACCTCAACCTCTCTTTAGCTGGATTTGAAGGAGAGATTCCTCCTCATCTTGGAAATCTATCTAGATTACAGCATCTAGATATTGCTCGAGTTTCAAGTTTTGGATTTGCAACGAGCTACACTTTAAGTACTAAGAATCTTGAGTGGGTTACAGGGCTTTCTTTCTTAAAGAGTTTGGATCTTTCTGGCATTGTCATAAGTGAAAGTCATCGTTTGTTGGATTCAGTTAACATGCTTCCTTCGTTATCATCTTTGCAACTAAGAAAGTGCTTCTCACCAGATGGAATTGGAAATCATAATTCTCCTCTTGTTCCTTCTCATTTCAATCTCACACCTCTTGTTTCTCTTGACATTGGGGGGAACGGTCTGGAATCTCCCTCACTACTAAATTGGTTCTCCAACCTTTCTAGCAATCTTCAAGTTCTTAGGATTGGAGGCAATAACTTCGATGGTCCATTCCCTTTCACGTTACGAAAATTCCCGCATTTAACAGTTCTTGACATTTCATCAAACTTATTGTTCAATTATTCACCATTGTTAGATTCATTGTGCAACCATACAAGCCTATCTTCTGTTGATCTTAGTTACAATCAACTTCAAGGATCACTTCCTCTTTGCCTCGGAAATGTGACTTCTCTTAACATACTTCGTTTGGGATCCAACAACTTCGGAGGGGAAATTCCCAGTGAGTTGTGTAATCTTAAACAACTAACTGATCTCGAATTGGATTCCAACTCTTTCAACTCTTCCATCCCGCCATGTATTGGAAGACTTACGGAGCTTGAATCTCTTTATCTCAATGAAAATCAGTTGTCTGGTACAATTCCTTCAACCCTTGGCCAACTCAGCAGACTAAAAGTTTTAGCTATTGGACAGAATTCATTGACAGGTGCTTTGTCGGAGTCGCATTTTACGGAACTCAAAAATTTAGATGTTTTGTCAGTCTCTGGTAACAAGTTTCTGACACTCAATGTAAGCAATCAATGGATCCCTCCATTCCAACTCAGGTCCATTTATATGGGTTCTGTTCACATGGGCAATCAATTTCCCTCATGGCTTCAAACCCAAAAGAATGTTGTAGAGTTAGACATGGCAAATGCCGGTATCTCTGATCGTATCCCTGACTGGTTCGGAAGCACTTTTTCTAGTGTCCAATATCTAAATCTATCAGGAAATGATATCCACGGTGAGGTACCATTATCAATGAAAAGATTAAGGTATTTAGATATACTTGATCTCAGCGGTAATCAACTTAGTGGCACTTTATCGGAATGGATTGGTGAAGAGCTATCACAGTTGGAGGATATTAATCTTCAATCCAACAATTTTTCTGGTAATATTCCCACACAATTATGCCAATTACCAAACCTTCAAAAACTACGCTTGGCAAATAACAGCTTGACTGGTCACCTTCCAGCGGATTGCTTTTCTTAAGCATTAAAGCATTGTGATGGAAACATTACATCTCATGGCATTGCAAGATCATCAAATGAAGAGTCTGCTGATGGTACAGAGCTATTGGCGGTGAATTTTCTTGAAGGTCCATGTAATCTCACTTATGGTTTCACCTCCAAACGAAATTGACTATGAGGAGAGTAGTATATGACAACTTATATGTTAATTAAGTTGGGTTACTATTTCTATTTTGGGACGGTTGTCTTTACATGTTTTCAAGTTCGAAGGAGATTTTAACAATTTCCTTTAAAAAATATTATAGTGCTCCCATTTTTTTTTTTTTGCTTTTAGTATTTTAATTTTGGGGGATGATATTGAAAAGTTTAATTACTTTATGACATAGAGGCTTTGTTTTCGTAGAGTATAGTTTTCACTCTTGTTTAGCATGCTAGCCTAATCCTGTTGTTGATCAAGAACATGTTTGTCCAGAGCAGTATTTCCAGGCACCATTATCAAATCTCGTGAAACGTCCACCCTAGTTTATACCAAATCTCGCCGAACAGCAGTGTCCTGTAACAGCGGTGGCGGTAGAAAAATTTTCAAATTCTCTCCAAATATCTTTCAAAATATACTTTGATTCCATAATAGAAAAAAATTTCAAAATGCAAACTAAAAGGTTAGTACAATCGGAACCATAAAACCTTCCAGGACCATCTCAGAATTTTCCGGTAAGGTTCCCTCCCTTCAGTATCAATACTGTTATGATTATTATTATAGCACTAAAAGTACAAAATAATTGTTTTTTTTTTATTTTTAGGAAAAAGAAATTAGATGACCTCAGCAAGAAAGTACAAACAATAATGGTAAAAATGATTATTCATTATAAAGAAAGAACCACAATTTCTTTCCTATTATTGTTAATTAGTGTCGGTAATCTCTTGTCGAGATGGATAAACACATAGTCAATAATGAAGGAATCATCTAAGTTGAACTATAAAACATTTGCTGCCGGAAATTCTCAACAGACAAATATATTTTTCTTTACGTGGTACGTACTTCATTTCAAGGATGGAATAAATTTTACATCCGTCAATTTGTTATCGAATTTTTCCAAAAGTCAAAGCGAAAGTCATAGCCATGAGTTGTCAAAGTACTTAATTTCATTTCTTATTTTCTATGTACTTAGCTTCCTTTTCTGTATGCTAAATAATTCACTAAATTCACGAAACTAAATGCAGAGATTACTAGTATCACAACGTTTTCCCATTTTCTTTTCTTAATTGAAATTTTTTTGACAAGATTAATTTGCGGATTTCACTCATCAAGAAATGATATTTGGAGTGGTGCCACCATCAATGACTTTAGTGAAACATTAATCTTAATCTGCTTTTATATTCCCGTGCAAATTTATCAATTTCTTCACCTTCAAATTTGTGTTTGTCAAATAAAATAGTTTCACTGGCGACATCCAAGATTTTTTTTTTTTATCTTAATTAATCATTAGGGTTGTAATGGGGCTCCAAATATATATACTTGCATTTTGTTATGGTTTGTGCTGGAAACGAGCTTAATCTTGGAAGAACATCGAATGAATATATAATCCACATTTCTAATTACTAATTAGTCGATAATCGATCTGCAAAAATCCAGCTAGCTTTTTTTTTTTTTTTGTTTTCAATTCATCTTCAAGGTAGATGATCTTTTAGTTACGAGGTCTAGTATCACTTAATTGTCTTTTTCAATTTTCGAATGATTAATTGTCATCTCTTTAACAAATTGTCTCCCTACATAGACACTGAAAAGCACTCCAAGGACTTTATAAGTCCACGCGCCTATTTTCCACAAAGACTTTGAAATTAAAATCAACTTACCTACGCGGTGCATGCCTTAGTATACAAAATTACAAATAACATGTATACAGCTTTTTAGTTGAAATGGATATCCGATTTGAGACATTGCTGGTTCTCAATTTTAATCGCTTCTTGAGATTTTCAAGCAAATTATCATCGTAGTGATTATAAAGTTTGATACAAGGCTAAAAATAAATCACCAAAATACTTCTTCTTAGCAGTTAGCATCTACGTTAAGCACTGGCCAACAACTCAACAACGTTCCTTCCCCTTTAAATACCCCGGCATCTGTATCTACAAGGAGATGGAGAAAATGCAGTACTTTCCTATTTCTGTTGGTTTCAGTCAGAAAAAATTCATACCATCTGGAGGGAAATTGCTTTTCATAAAGCATGTTAAGAAAATTTTTCTTACCAAATTCTGTTTTCCGTCTACAATTCCACAGAAAACACTCCAAAGACTTCATTTTTTCCACAACGACTTTGATAAATCAATGTACACCATGTATGGATGCACTTAGTTGTATATATAGCGTAAGAATCAGTGTAGGCAACTATCATACACAAATAGTGGATGCAATCATTTCGGAACGAATAATTGTATGACCTAATGACCCTTTTCACATTTTGAATAATTGTCATCATTCTAGGTGAAAAATATCCCTACACTGAAAGAAAATGTACTCGAAAGACTTTATTACTGGATGCATGTTTTCCAGAGACTTTGAAAAATCAACATACGCCATATATGCAAGCCCTTCGTAATATACTTCTTTATCCCAGAAAAAAATAATTCTTTTTTTTTTAAAAAAAATAATTCATTTTTGTTGAACTTAAACAGTATGACAAAAACTATTCCTATGTAACAAAAGGAGCACTTAGTATAAGAATAACTATATGGATTTCAGTTGAGATATATTAGCAGTGCAAACAACTTTTCAATGTATATCTATCCAATTTATGTGTATGTAAAAAAAAAGTAAGTGTTCGAATCAATCGGAAACAACCCAATATAATAGAACAACCGAATTCAAGGTCTAATTGGAAATCACCAACCTTATAGAACAAAACTTAGAATTAATTAGTCCTACCAACTATATGGAACAGGAAGAACTAGCTATTGAGATCAAATCTCTTTTCAATTAATCATAACAACAACTGACTCAAAAGAGGGGTGGCCGTGCCCTTTTAACAACAAAAACTATAACCGAAAATAAAACCCTAGCAACTAATGAAAAGACTAAAAAGTCAATGACAAAAACTATTATAACGAAATTAAAATAAATGTCTTCTTTTATTTCCGGCTGCATCAAACCCTAGCACATCAATCACCATCAACAACAATCACATTGTTGTTTTCGCAATTGATAAATCTATACAGATATATCCTAATCAACCTTGGACATATCACATACCGGATTATGGATCTGGTTAATAAGAATATATCACTAATTATTAGATGAAACACCCAATTTATAAATCTAAAAAGATTTATATTGACCGAATCTTGAATGATACACAACAAACCCGCGAAAATCACCAACGAGGTCAGGAACCTTGCCATCAACACATGAATCCTACCCTCAACCCGTAGATTACAACCAATCTACCGGAGGAACTATAACATAAAGAACCCTGCCCAGTCGATATACTATTATCTATTGAAGGAACAAAATTTCAATGAAAAAGAGGGAAATAACCCGTTTATTGAACAATAAACTAAAATTGCCCTTATAAAATTAGAATAAAATTATTTCCCCTATCCTCCCATAGTGAGAAGGTGGGGAAAGAAAATTTTTTCGGAGGTGGTTTGGAAGAGGGGAGAGGAGGCGGCTAAGTTGCATCATTCGTTTACTACTACAGAATTGTTGGAAATGGCCATTTTTCATATATCCTGCTAATTGATTTCGATAAATGTTCGGATGCACATCGGCTCCACTGTTTTTTATTTTCTTGATATATTTAATAGGCTCTGGTGATTTTCGAAATCAAAATTTAAGAAATTTATGCTTGACAAATGCGATTTTTTATTTTTAATTTTTGTGCATCTTCTCCCGAATTATCTTAGAACCTTACTGGTTTACCACCATGCCTATCCCTATGGTCAAATAAATCTATCACACCTCCAGCACATTTTCCATTCATGTTTCTTACAAAATTATCATTATTATCTAATTCTTTTCGCAAGCATCATTTAATCTTTTCAAGGAGATGGAGCCCTGAAAAATAGAGATTAGAAGAAGGAAAAAAAGTTCATTGTGGGTATATGTAAGATTAATTTATTTTTGGGTACAAAATTACATGGTTTTTAATTGATGAAGTTTATTTAACGCTCGGAAGAAACTAAAAGCATCCGCAAACAAAAAAACGTTCGCGTAAATTTTAAGATCAGGGAGTTGTTGCTCAAGTGAATTACCTGACATGAAACTAACTCAAGTTGAAAGTCGCATACTTAATCAAGTTCTTCCTTAAACTTTGTTGCAAGCGACAATTTAATAGGTGTATGTTTGATTGATTTGCACATAAATATTTACCTTTGTACACAAAAAAGTAACGGACTTGTTGGATTGGATAGCCAAAGAAAAAAAAAAAAAAAATTCACATTCAGCGTGGGTTAATTTTGGAACTTTCCTTTTATAATCAAACCCTGGGAATGCAGGGAATCGGATTTTGTAAGACAAAATTTAGGAAATTTTCGAAACACAAAACCAATCAGATTTAGGAAATTCAAGGTCGGCTTAATCGTGCCTATAAAAACTAACCTACAAGGGTTTCATCTGATCATTAAATCACTGTATCTTAATTCTTCTGAAATCGGAGAAGAAAAGCTTGACAAGAAGTTTCATCTCGAGAGAGAAAGAAGGAAAGACAATACAGAGAGTTTGAGAGAAAGTTTTAAACATGTGTTCGCCCTTTGGGTTCAGAAAAAGATTCCTGCCGACGGACGACGAACTAATCGGACTGACGAAGCCCGGAATCGTATCACCGGCTTAACAGTGGAGCTCTGGTAGGGGGTTTCCTGCAAAATAGAGCCCTGGGGGTCTCCCGAGGTAGACACTCTGATGCTTAAGTCAGAAAATAGGGTTATGAAGAAGTGTATATGTGATTATTAGAGCTAAAGATAGCGTACCTCAATTGTGGTGAGATCAACCCTATTTATAGGCATGGAATTACCTTGAGGGGAGCCGAATCCTACTAGGATTCTTAATCACGAACTGCCTCTGCAAGGTCGGTTAGGCCCTAATTGGCGGATGGGCCGGTCCGGTAATCCTTGGTGGATATGGACTCGTCAAGTGCCCCTGTCAAGTGTTAGTTGTATGAAATAAACAAGATTTGTCACAAAATAAAACTGACCTGGACTCGGCCCAAGTTTAATGGACAAGTCTCAGCCCAATCTGTATGATATGGACCGGACAAATTGCTCGCTAGTCGAGGTTCGAACTGAGAAGGCAAACCGCTTCAGAATCCCACCCAAACTAAAATTGTGCCCTGGCAATGCGCAAGTTTCCCAAGCGACAGCCATGTCATCGTTGCTGCTCCTTGAAGTCCGCCGAAATTGTCAAGTTGTGGAGGAGAGGGACTGTCTTTATTAACGAAAAAAGTCCCAGAGCCTTTTCCTACTAATTTCGCTTTCCAAAAATTATACTGCAAAAATTCCCCAAAGCTCTCTGTTTTCTCCGCCGCAATTTCTCCGCCGAAATTGCTCATGTGCATCCGTCACCGGAAAAACCCAATCCTGCTAGAGTCGAGGAGATTGCCCACCCTGTGCGGATAGAAGGTCAAACCCAGAACCTGATTAAAACGAGTCTTCAACCTTCTTATTTTTGAGTTTCTGTTTTTTCGTTTGCCTGAATCTGGATGGTTTTGCATATTTTGTGGTAGACATGGCTGAAAAAACTGTATCTGACTTTGCATCCATCATAGATTCCATCCAAAAAGTTAGGGCAGTAGCTGAGAAATATAATTTGCCCGTAGATCTAGAATATCAAGCCCCCATAGGAAATGAAAGGGCTAATACTCCACCAGATGAAAAAATCACTATTTATAATAGATTCATATTTCTAGAGCTTAGATTCCCTCTTTTCCCTCTGTTTGGAGTAATAGTCCAGCACTATAAGATCCCACTTGCTCGATTTACCCCGAATTTGATAACCGCTATCCTCGGATATGTGAGAGTGTGTGAGTTAGTGAAGGTAAAACTACGATTACTCATGTGGAGGTACTTCTTTAAAGTCTGTGCTCCCTCGACCAAGTTCAGGGATTGGTATAATGTGAAGAGGAATATAAAATCAAAAGCATCACAGATAGTGAAGCTCTTCGATGGGTCTCCGGTGTGGAAACCTGAATATCTATATTTGAAAGCTCCCGAGGACCTCTGCGTAACCTGGGATTATCGAGAAACAAATGAGCTGGACGGTATTGTAGATGACTGGACTAAAACAGATAAGTCCAGAATTGCAAAATATAGATCTGATACCAATGCCACCAAGAAATATGAAAACTTAATTCTCTAGACCAACGTGCAGCATTACATTCCTCCGATTCTTGTCAAGGAAAAAGAAGGTACTAACTCCTCTTTTTCTGCCTTTTGTTTTAGGTCATGTCATCGAGCAAGACCTCATTATTTGGTGATTGCAAGATTTTTGATATTAAAAATTCAGATGAGGAAAGCTCCTCGACGAGAGTGGGGAAGAAGAAGAGGAAAGTGAGGAGACTTGTCAAAGTAGCAGATGCAGAAGCTAGGAAGAAGAACAAACATGACCAGTACGCTAAGGAAAGTTTGCTTGAAACAGAAGGTACTCCTCGGGAATCTATGCCCCTGCTGGTCAACGCCAAAAGAAAATCCTGAAGGCTTGACCCATGGGGGTCGCCTTGCTACGGAGATTGATCATGAACAGTTCATGGTGCCAAAGCCTCCGTTGAAGAAGCTGAAAGACACCATCGAGGGCACCGTGAATTCCCCCAGGTCTTCGAGTTACACCGCTGCAGCTGCCATATACCACTTACCATATACCACTTTGAGGACGTCCGGATCGAGTGTCCCATTCTCGAGGAGAACGCAGCGGCTACGACCGAGGAGGACACTCTAAAGCTGTTAAGTGTGACTATATTTTGACAGATGTAACATACAACATTTCCGTTTTCTGAATATCATATTTGAGCTTTGCAGATGAGTACCTCGATGATCAGTTTTTTGCTCTGCCAAAGGAAATTGCAAGAGGAGCTTAACAGGTCAGAGCTCGAGAGGAAGCTCATCGAGAATGAAAATTGACTCAAGAGGATGCTTGGAAGAAGGAGCAGCTGTAACTTGCCGACAAGAAAGAGTAGATGGCCTCTCTACAAGCAAGATACAACGAGCTGGAGGAAAAAAATGAGGGAATACGGGGAATCCCACATTTCTAAGTCAGACTTGCAGGGATGGTTGGTGGCTTTTGGTCGAGGATGTTGCCGACCGGTGGAATGGCCAATGTTATGTTGGGCATTAGTGAGGCAGCCAAGCAATTGGGTGGGTATGGCGTAGCTGTCGCTGCTCTTGAAAGAATGGAGTCAGGCAGGACTATTAATGCAGGCTGGCTAAAGCAATTTATAAGGAAAGATCCTCGCCGGGCACTACACGAACAGATGAAAAATGGACTACTGCACCTCTCGACTGAATAATTTCCTCTGTTCAACGTTTTGTGCAACGCTATCCTCCAAATGGGTTCTCCTCAGGAAATCACTTCCTTTCTTGGTGATGCCCCAACAATCTTGATGGGCGAACCTGGTGAAGAACCACGAGGGCCAGATCTTCCCGACAAATTCATCGGAGTCGAGTTAGTCTCCGACGATGATTCCTCAGAGGAAGTGGATGGTGGTGGCAACGAGGAGAAGGAGCCAGAGGTCGAGAAGGAAGATGAACTGGTCCGAACTCCAGTTGAGGAAACCAACGAAAATCAACCATCCAAGCTTCCAAACCCGGGTGCTGTATGAACTTCTCTTTTGTAATAGAATTTCTTTTGGGTTGTAGATCCTATTTTTTGTAGTGCTACTTGTTGGAGTAGCTTTGAACAATTTCTGTACAGCGTTTTATCTATTATGACTCCTTTTCTTTTGAGAGTTCTTGACTTATTTTCACTGCTCATGCTAGGAATCGTACTTTGTTCGTTAGGTACACTTGATGATCCTAGATGAGAACCAAGCCAAGAACTTCAACATGTATACCATGGTTTCTTCAGCAATGAGGAAAGTAGGGAATGTTCACAACTTATCCGGGGTGAGATCTCTCTAGAAGAATATTGTGGACGCTGTCCAAGCTTATAATGTTCAGATACATTCTCGAGTAGTACAATGCTTCAGAGAGAAGGAAGAAGAATTCCAACATCGTCTCCTTTAATATGACCTTGATTACCACGATTCTCTATCCTTGGAAGGCAGCGTGAGTGAGGAGATGGCTCAACTGAAAAAGGAGAATGCTGCCTTAAAGACTCGTCAAGGAATCGTGGTGTCACCTTGGTTTCTCGAGAAGTTTCACATTCTAAACCTCGTCTAGAAACAGATTCAAGTCAGGACATAGTGCTTTATCGCTGTAGTAGAGTTACTCAAGAAAAGGACCAAGGAAGTCGAGTTTTACTCGAAACAATCTGCTATCCTGCAAAATTTGTTAGTCGATCGTGAGATCCCGTTTCCCATTCTCGATGACCTGGATGAGGATGAAGAAGCTAAAGAGAGGAGTGCTACCGAAGAGTATCTGCTGAGGCTTAACAAGCAAGACTGGGAGATTGTAGATTTGAAGGATAAGTTGAACCAGTGTATCAATAAGCTTAGAATGTTAGGATTCTCCGGCATCATTAAGCCATCTAGATTCAACCCAAAGGGGGAGATCTCAATATTTAAGGATAGATAGATATATTTATCCAACCCCACACTTGGTGTGAGGGTAATACATTTGATTCAAACTTTGCCAGCGTCGTTTGTTGATTCATACTCGAGTATAATTTATATAGTGCTTTCATATGTGGCTAGATGTAAAGTACACGGCTCTCTTCGAGAGAACCAGGTACGGGTTCCTCGATATTATAGTAAGGCGATCTACAGTTTATACGAGGTAAGTTTCTCGATTTTTATGTCTGGATGTTGATTACACGGCTCGAATCGAGGATGGCCCTACAGAGGGTGTCCATCTCGAAGACTAGTCATATTATGGTGTCGACACAAGTATAGGAAATATGCAATGACGGTTATTGAATAGTTACTCGAGCACCCGGGTTAGCATTACATGAAAAAGGGGTAAAAACAACAAATCACATAGAGCAAATAATTTTTAGCAAGCAGCAGGGAAAAACTTTGACATAGAACCTGCGTAGGTTCTGAATATTCCACTATCGAGGGTGGATGGTTTCTGTATCAACTGTTGTCTGCAGGTGATAATTGCCAGAAGGGAAAGCCTAGATGACTCAATAAGGTCCTTCCTAATTTGCTAATAACTTGCCAGGAGTCTCTGCTCGACTAGGTTCATTCTTCCTAAGTAACAAGTCTCCTACCCCGAGGTCAGTGCTTTTGGCTCGCTTATTGTAGTGCTTTCAAAGGATCTCTTTGTACTTAACTTCTCGGATGTTGATTACATGGCTCGAATCCAGGATGGCCCTACGGAGGGTGTCCATCTCGAAGACTAGTCATATTATGGTGTCGACACAAGTATAGGAAATATGCAATGACTTTTATTGAATAATTAACCGAGCACCCGGGTTAGCATGACATGAAAAAGGGGTAAAAACAACAAATCACATAGAGAAAATAATGTTTAGCAAGCAGCAGGGAAAAACTTAGACATACAACCTACGTAGGTTCTGAATGTTGCACCATTGAGGGAGGATGGTTTCTGTATCATCTGTTGTCTGTAGGCGGTAACTGCCAGAAGGGAAAGCCTGGATGACTCGATATGGTCCTTCCTAATTTGCTGATAACTTGTCAGGAGTCTCTGCTTGACTAGGTTCATTCTTCCTAAGTACCAAGTCTCCGATAGCAAGGTCAGTGCTTTTGGCTCACGAATTGTAGTGCTTTCTAAGGATCTCTTTGTACTTAGCTTCTCGGATTTTAACGGCGTCTTGCAATTCCTCGAGCAGGTCAATGTTAGTCGGGATATCTTCATTGTTGGTGTCTTCGAAAAAATTGATGGTTCGAGGACTGGCGAGACCAATCTCTACTGGAAGTACATCATCCATACCGTAGACTAAACTGTTAGGAGTTTCATCAGTCGAGGAGTGAGTTATAGTTCGATAAGCCTATAGGACATTTGATAGTTCATCGACCCATGCCCCTTTGGCATTTTGCAACCTGGTCTCGATTCCATGCAAAATAGTTCTATTGATAGATTCAGCTTGACCGTTTGCTTGCGAATGAGCAACAGCAGAAAACCAGCGTTCTATTTGCATTTAAGCACACCACGATTTGAAAGGATCACACTCAAACTGTGTCCCATTGTCTGATACGATAACTTTGGGCACTCCAAAGTGGCAAACCACGTTTTGCCAGAAAGAATTCAACACCTTCCTTCCAGATATAGAGGTCAGCGGCTTTGCTTCTACCCACTTAGTTAAATAATCCATGACTATGATAACCCATCGAAGCCCTCCTGCCCCCATTGGAAAAGGGCCGATGATGTCGGTGCTCCATTGGTAAAAGGGCCAGGGGCTTTGGATAGTTACCATCTCATGTTGTGGCCGTCTGAGTGATGGGAGAGAATCGCTGACATCTATCGCACTTTTGCACAAATTGATAGGCGTCCTTGAAAACTGTAGGCCAATAGTAACCTACCCCGAAAGACCTTTTTGGCTAATCCCCGTGCTCCCATGTGAGCACCACATGATCCTTCATGAATTTCCTCGAGGACATAGGCCGCCTGTTTTGGGCCGATGCAGCGCAACATTGGTAGTAGATACCGTGTTCGTAGAGGATTTCGTCTTTCAAGTTATACTTAACTGCTTTCAACTTTAATGCTCGAGCTGCGAACTTATCACTGGGGAGAGTCCCGTTCTCGAGAAACTGTCATTCATGTATCTCCATCTTCAGTGATTGTGAGTGATACTCGGGGCTGGATGCTAGGTTCGGGGAGTATCTCGACCCAAATTTTATGACTGAGATGTGCAAAATTGGACGAAGCTAGCTTGCTCAAGGCGTCGGCTCTCTTGTTGCTAGTTCTAAGGATGTGGGATATGGAACATTCGTCGAACTTATGCCTGATTTCAAGAACTTTCTCGAGATACGGTCTTATATGTTCCTCGCGGACGGTATAGTCGCCATTGATTTACTTAACAACTACTTGAGAATCGCTGAAAACTTCTAAATTTCGGACCCCCAGTTTTAGAGGCATATTCAACCCCGTGATCATTGCTTCATATTTGGCTACGTTGTTTGTGGCCGGGAAGCCAAATCACAAGGCTTAAGAATATTCCACATCATATTACTTTATCTCCTCGATTTCTTGTGGTGCGGTTGGTTTGGCAAGGATTATGCTGGCTCCTCCCCCGTTCTCACAAGATGAGCCGTCGATGTAAAGAGTCCAGGCTCGAGGATTTAAGGGAGCATGTTTGTGCATTTGCTTCTTTGAAGGCGGCTCGAGTATGGTACTAGGAGTATGGGGCATTTCGACGAGGAAATCTACAAACGCGTGCCCTTTTATAGCTATTCTAGGCTTGTACTCGATATGATGTTCTCCCTGCTCGACGGCCCACTTCATCATTCAGCTAGAGGTTGTAGGTTTAAGGAGGACTTGCTGAATTGGTTGCTCAGTTATGAGTTGGATTGGATGAGCTTGGGAATAGGGGCATAGCCGTCGAGCAGCCAACACGAAACTTAGTATCAGAAGTCTCTCAATCGGAAATCTCCACCTTGAGCCACGCTCCACAAATTTTTTCCTCCACAACAGCCATTAACGGCTCGAATCAGGGAGCAAAATATTTTTTTTGTGGGTGGAATAAGTATCTGTGTTTCGCTTACTTGGATTCTAATTGTTTAAGCTTTTCCTGCAGCTTAATTATATCTGTGCTCAGTTTGTTTCTGAAGTTGCTGCCCGATAAAATTAGATTCTTTTGATAATTTATTACTGCATAGAACTGAAAATTCTATTGGTTGATTTACTGTGGAATAAAAATCATTTTTGTGAAATTCGTAGTGTCGTCCCCATCATCAAATTCCAGACCAGCTCCTTATCCAGTACTTCTACAAAGGTCTTTTGCCAATGGATAGGAGTATGATAGATGCAGTAAGGGGAGGTGTTCTAGTAGATAAAACACCAGTAGCTGCGAAACAATTAATCTCAATCATGGCTGAAAATTCTCAACAATTTGGATTGAGAATTGACGGAGGTGTTAAACAGACTAACGAGGTAAGTCATTCAACTCTGGTAAATCAAATTTCTGATTTTAACTTCTTTGGTTAGTCAAATGGCTGTAGGACAGTTGCAGACTGCTAAAGTTTGCGAAATATGCACCAATCCTGGGCATCCAACGGATATGTGTCCTTCCTTGCAAGATGACAAAACTCAACAACTTAATATAGTAGGAGGGTTTTCAAATCAAGTTCAGCGAAAATATGATCCCCACTCCAACACCTATAATCCTGGATGGAGATCCTGGATGGATAGATCAAACAAACTTCAGTTATGGAAACCAAGGTGGACAACAAAGGTTTCACAATTCTACAATCATCCACCTCCACTACAGCTATCAAATTCAGGTACTTCTCTTGAGAAAATTGTTAAAAATCATGCTATTAAAACTCAACAGTTTCAGCAGGAAACAAGGGCTAGTATCAAAGACTTGGGAAACCAATTTAGCCAATTTGCCAACTGTGTGAGTAGATTGGAAACTCAAAATGCGGGAAAGTTTCCGTCACAAACGGTCATAAATCCCAAAGAGAATGTTTGCGCAATGATGTTAAGAAGTGGGAGAAAGCTTCAAGCAAGTCCAACTAGAGCCGGAAGAGAAAGAAAT